GTTTGTGTGTGTGTTAATGCGAGTTGTCTTTTGTTTGTGTAAACGTCCGAGTCTGTAATTACCGGAGCTTTTTGATTCTAACCGTGAGAGTTGGCAGGTGCACAAAATCCACGAACGCTCATCTGCAGATTATGAATATTAAAAGTTGTCTGAAACATTAGCGGTTAATTGAATTCAGCTACACAGCGAGTATTTAATAGTCGTTTGGTCTCCACGCGTGCTCGTATGCCCGTAAGATTTTAATGACGCTGATTGACGGCACTGATGTTTGTGCACAAAGTCTTAGGCGCATTTGTTTAATGACTGTGTGTGGTTGATTTTATGTTGGGATTTATGCTGCTTGATTGGCTATGGGGGCGCAAAACTGGCTAAAATAAATACGATTATTATTGCAAATTCTACTAGATAGATAATTAAGATGTAGTATTCACTACCCTACACAACTTAACAAAAAGATTTCTGTAAATAAGGTCAAAACCATCAGTCAGTTGACAATATTCCTTAAAACCTTTGATTTAAAACTGCATCTGTGTTGAAAGGGGAATGGAGTCTTAGAGAAGATTGTCTTTTGAATCGGTAGCATCACTTAAATTAATGAAGCTTTGTTAGTTTCAACTCATTGATTAGCTGTCTGCTGTAGCTTTACTGTTTTGTTTTACTCTTATTAAATTTAAAAGAAGAAATAACTAAATTAAGTTTTTAAAAACCATTAGTGACTCAGCACCACACAGAAGATGGAAACAAAAAGAAAATGACCGCTGATGCTGTATATGTGTGATTAAGCAGCTGTTTGGTCAATTTGATACGTCAATTTCAAAATGTATTATATCAACTCAGTTATTTTCGCCCCCCCCAACAAATGCATCTTCCAGAAACCGCTAATCTTAAATTCAGCACATAACTGAAATAACACTATCTTCCATATAGCTTGAAAACAATTATAAATGTCTTTCCAGGAAACGGTAAACCGCCAAAAATAAATTGTTAATTGTTATCAGTTTCCGCCTCCAGAGCTGCTATCTAATAATACATAATTAAACCAATGATAATTGGCACAGTTTGTCCACATACAAACTCCATTAAAGTATGCTGACTAATATTTTCGGGGGTTAATGAATGCAGTATGTAAAGAAAAATAAAGGTTGGCAATCCAGCCGGGTAACATCGGATGCCAGTGTGTGTCTAGGTTGCGTGCGTGTTTAGGTGTGTATGCAGTGGTGTGTGTGTGTGTGAGCTCTGAGGGGAAATTGGGAGTCCTTCCTGTCGTAGAGCTGTGTTTGTACAGCCTGGCTTTGTCGGGATATCCTACCCTGCCCATGTCTGAGGGAGAGAGATGGAGGGATGGCAGGGGGAGTGAGGAGCACTGAGAGGGGGGGGAGGGGGACAGAACTTAATATAAACCTCCATTAAATACAATTTGACATGCCATCACTAGAGTGTACACAGTGGTTGGAATTAGCATCTAATCCAGAGCTTGAATAACGTGACTAAAGTCCAGACGGGCTGCAGTGTGAAGGGAGCAAAAGACTAACTCCCTTGTTTTAAAGGTTTTGTTTTTTTAAGGAAAACTCTGTTGTCTCCAGGCAAGCCAGGCTCCGACCATCTGCACATGTCATGGCTGGCAACAATCAGAGGGAGAACTGATTAGAAATGTGGTTGTTTACGTGGTTGTTACCAAGAGCCCTCGGAGTGGAAACAGTTTGCACGGAGAAAGAAGGACACGTTTGAAAATATCCACTTACACACAAAGATAGTTTCTCCTTTAGAGTCCTGTTCTTAACACAAAACTGATACATATATCTAATTACTATCTGATATATATAGCAATAAATATGTTTTCAGTGAGTGAAAATAACGTCCGATACTTTTCCGCAGGGACCCTTTTTGATTCGTCGACCACAGGTGTAACCTATTATACATGTGTGTGCATTGTATTGGACCTTAATTACTGGAACAGAGACCATCAGTACATCAGTAATGTTATTGGTTCCACCTGCGCTTTCCCTGCGGTCTCGGGTGAAATGGTCTTCTGCATACTGAAATATTCCATAATAATTTCAATTTAGAAACGATAAAGAAGCAAGAGGGCTCTGATGCTGTCAAGGCTGTTGTGATTAAATTATAAAAAGAGTTCCAATAACTGACCCGCTTGTTACATCCTCAATGTTCAAAGGCTTTTTGTTGTAATTTCAAGGAGGCAACTGATTGGCGGAATTTCATCATTCTGATGAAGAAAAGAGACGTAATTTAGTTTTGAACTGTGAAAGAAGACAATGTAATATGCAACAGTGTTTTAAGAGGGACTTTTGTCTTTTCTAATTATATTCCTATAGGCATACGGTGTGTACACACATTCCTATTACGTTATTTCCCAGCTTTCATCACTTTAGCCATTATCTCCACAAATGGCCCGGATAACAAGGCGATTTCGTTTGAGTCGGAACAAAGTAAAAATATCTCCCCGGCGTTGACTTTGATGTTATCAGCTTCCGCTTAGTGATGTTTGCTGTTTAAAGTTTCGTCTCCGTACATGTCCACTCTGCCGTCGCCTAATGGCCACGGGTCTCTTTGACGTCAGCCGTGGTTGATTTGACCCCGCCGATGCCATACTGAACCCTCAACCTTACCGACAGGGCTTACCCCAGATACTCCCTTCCTGTTTCAATGATGACATCATGACTTACCTGGCTGTGTGTGCAGCGGTGAGGGGGTGTGTGTGTGTGTGTGTGTGTGTGTGAGGGGGGCTGAATGAGAGCGAACAAAAGAAAAGCAAAAGGCTCTGGACTTCCCACAGGTCTTAACCTGCCATAACGGTTGTTGCTGGCAGAAGGAGGGCGAGGCGCGGCGGTGGATGGAAGGAAGGGTACGGGAAGGAGTAGTGCTGCAGATCGGAAAGAGGATAATGCTAAGAGGTCTGTGAGCAGGCCAACGGTGAGGTAATGCTGCATGTGCAGTTTGTGTTAGTGGACAATTCATCATAAAGAAGGAAAGAAAGAATCCAACACGAGCTGAAGACTACGTGAGTGTAGTGCCCCCAACATCAGATTCTAATGGACCTGCAGGACCCACAGTACAAAGCTAATTCATGAATCCTAAATACTACTTTAGGTGAGAGTTGTAAAGACTCCAGCTGGTCCATCTGCTACCAGCTGACTGCGATCTGCGGCCTTAATGAAGTGTCTGTGAGCCCTCTGCAACCAGGCACATCCCATTAGCTCCATGACTTCTGTGTCCGTGTGTGTGTGTGTGTGTCCGTGTGTGTGTGCGTGGTCTTCGCCTTCATCCTTTCTCCTTATCTAATGGCCTCTCGCTTCTTCTGTGATCTCTCTCTTTGTTCTGCATATGTGAAGGAGTGTCAACCGTTGTTATTCCACCACAGCTGGCGAAGGTGCTTTTCTCCTCTGCCTTCCTTTGACCTTTTTTCTTTACAAATGCCCGACATCAATCCTCTTTCTTCCCCTTTTCTCAGTCTCCTTGTATACAATCACTTCCCTATCTGTTGCAGTGCAGATATACTGGAGGAAAGCCCAGACTCAGTGTTTTTCACCCCACAATTTTCTCCCCCCTAACATTTTGCACCTTCACTGCAACCCTTCATCTTTTCCTCTCCTGCTGGCGCATCCCCTCTTTTTTTTCGCCTCTCGGAGGTCATGAGCTGCCGCTGCTGACCGACCTCTGCTTCCTAAAGTGTCCATCGCTCTCCGTCAGATTCCTCTCCTCACACTTCACCCCCCCCCCCCCCCCCTCTGCCTGTTTCACGCCCTCGCTGCAAAGACGTGACTAAACATCTACGTAGCCCTTTAGGAGGAACCTCAACCACAGCGCACACGGTGGAGGGATTTGCATCACAGGCGTCTGTGCATTTCCCTGAAGGAGAAATGGATGGATGGAAAACGAGAGTTTTAGGTGAAAGCGTCGGTCTGAATTATTCAATGTTTAATAGGACGAGCGAAAGCATCAGAGAAGAGAAAATCAGAAGAAAAAAAGGCCTGCCCTCTGTATCTCTCCAGTGTGTGTGATATCTCTGGAAGCTGAAAGTCATCCTCTGATGATGCCCAGCTTATGCTCGATTCCCCTCCTTTAAATAGGCTGACTTTATCTTTACAACACGTTATGCATTTTAATAGAACATAAAGATTTAGTCCTATGGACTGTAAATGCTACAGGCAACAAACCCGTATATCAAGGACTCTGGCACTCGGGCGCAGCATTGACTTCTGCAGGCCGTGAATCACTTCTGCTTTTTTTTAAAGGCTTGGCCAGCTATCGGAACACCCAAAAACTTTCCACAGAAATGAAACTAAGTACATTTACTCGGGTAGTCGGGGCACTTGAGACCAGTTTTCTGACTATTTAAATATGATGCACTTTACTACCTCTACTACTAATTTATTTCACTGCTGCCATTACTTACCTTTCAGAGTAACAGTTGAAATCATATAATCAGAGTAGAATATAAGATATGTATGGATGATAGTATCATGTAAAGCTGTTGAAATAAACTTGAAATGTGCTCACATGTGAATTCTTAAAGTAAAGTAAAAACATGATAAATATATCACGCTGAATTGCTGAACGTTGGTACTTAAAGTTGGTGCTAATGATTGCACACTTTAATCCAAGTGATTATTACCTGTAATATAGTAAAATGTAAGAGATTATTCCACTTTTTTTTCTCAATGATTTATTTGAATGCTCCTGTCGTTTTAAAGGGCATTAAGCATAAAATATTCTGTTAGTTACAGAAGAGAAGTAATACACCGTGCGAACAGAGAGTTGTGCCCTTAAGGCAAAAACGCGTGACTATCAGTAATCAACATTCATGTCTGACCGCAATTATATTTGCAAACAGGAACTGGTACTAGAGTGACTGAAAAGGTCATCCATCCCTTTACGGCTCCTCTCTCTAACACAATCATTTTTGTTAATTAATGTGATATTAAAACCCAAATGTGTATATTCATGGCACATATTAACACATCCGTGTGTTTACTCCACAGAAGTCCTTTTCTTTGGTGTTGGAGGCTCTGGACTATGACAACGACACGTCAGAATCAGGTGAGGATGCAGTGTGTGTGTTTGTGTGTGTGCGCGCGTCTGTATGCCTTTCTAACCACTTGTCAATGTTTAGAATGTGTATGTTATTATCTTCGTATTATCCTTATTATCTATTTAGCCAAAATTAAATTGATTGAACTGATTTCATGCTTTTTCGGGACTATAATTGCCACCATCTATGTATGTTTGGTCAATCTGGTTTTAAAGGGCATCACTTAGCTTTTAGCATGAATAGCTCCTTTATGATTGTATGTAACCTTGATGATGTGGAATAACATCCTGGAATGTTTTTCTTTTTTGTATTTCTTTTAATCAATTTATTTGTAAGCTTCTCTTTCTGTTATGAATGTGTTTGCTTACTGTCTTATTTGTGGTAAACTGAACTTAATAACTAAGATGTTGAAGCATCAAGATGAGGGGTCGTCGTGGCGCGGGGGTTGTGTCCCTGAGCAAGACACCTAACCCCCAATTGCTCCCCGGGCAAAAGTGTGAAAAAGCCATGGGTTTAAAGTGTAATGTAAGTCGCTTTGGATAAAAGCGTCTGCTAAATGACATGTAATAATAATAATAATAATGATTCATTTCAAAACAGGGAAATGGTTAACACCAGTAAATAAGCTTTAGCTGAGACCCGATTTAATCAGCCTGAGTGCAATCAAGGCCGTTAATTTCTCACTTTTTTATTATACATTTCTATGGTATAATTATTTTAATATTCTATTCATTGGCCTAAATATGTTGGAGCTGTAACTTTGGTCGGGCAGTATACTAACTTTTATTTAAATGTAATTGTCATCGGGCAACCTAATCCTTGGCCGCTTGTTTACGGATATGCGTTGTTCAACATGGTGAAGCGATGTGAAAAGTTTCCGAACGGGTCTTTTGACCAGACCCTTTAATTTCCTGCTCGCCTCCTTGTTGCTTCTCTTCATAATCGGGAAAAGCTCCATGACCGAGTATGTGAGCTGCATGCTATAAAAAGCAACACACACACACACACACACACACACACACATAGATGGAGACAGATGTGTCTGGGCCTTTCTCATTCCTGCCATACCACAGTCCTCTCCTTCATCCCACCATCATCTACCTCCGTCTCAGCCGTTCATATCCAAAAGATCCAAAAATTGGCCAAGATAATGAGAAATAAGAAAGTGGGAACGACCCTCCTCCCTCCCTGTGAGTTTGTGTCTCCCGTCCTTCGCCCTTCAGCGCTGCTCCTACATCTTGTTTGCATTATCAGTCCTATTCACCTGAGCTCCGTACAGCCTTTACATCGGGTCTTAAGCCGTTCGCCGGGCGGGCAGCTTAACTCGGCCCAAACAGAAGCATCTCGCACCAGTCTCACCGGACTTATAGGGACCGACTGCCAATCAGAGAGGATTACCGAGCACAACTGTACGTTCTGAAACAGACCTTGGAAATGGTGAGAAAATATGATGTCCCTTGAGCACCGACAGTGTGACCTTCGCCGAGTCTTGTTAAAATAACATGTGGAGGGGCGGGCCTTTTGTTTTGTGTATGATTCCAGTTTTAAAACATATTTCCACATTTTGGTGTTTCATTTAAATGTTGTGCAATTGCAAGATCTGAGTAAACCAAAGCTGTCAAGCATAATTAAAGCAGCCAGATCATCAAAACCCCTTCATTTGGAAGTTATTCCTCATTGCCCGCAACAATTGTGCACACAAAGCTACATTAAAGGGGCTAAACAAGGATTTATTTTTTGATAACGTTGTTTGGGCTTCTGTGACTTCCTCCTTTGGCCCTGACAAAACGCCAGCGCCATGAAGGGTGTCGCAGTTTGACGAGTCGTACCTCTCACTAAAAGGGACGGGCGTCACTGCATCCAAGCTCTGTTAGTGGCCTAAAACCTCCACACAGAATACTTTTAACTTTTAGTAATAAAACAGAGGGATCTTAAAAACGCATTTTGTCGCCGTTTCCTAATTGCCGTTGCTCATTTATGGGGCTACTTGGAGTGCAGATTTGCTGCTGTGTTCACGTGGGGGAATCAATTGTGTTGGCGTAGCACCAACAGCCACAAATTGCCGACCTTCGATGGAGAGAAAGGGAAATTCAATAAAATAATCAAAACAATATTATCCTCCAAAAATTCAACTTGTGTTGACTTAGTGTTTTCATTCAGATTAGAATCATCTCATCGCAACAGTCAAAAACAAAAATCGGGCCGCTCTGAGAATCACCCTCAAATCTAAGAGGGACACAAACACCATCCAGCTGATTTATTTGCTTCCATAGATCTACTGTATTGATTTGTGGCTTCTGGCGATGTGGAAAGGCCGGCAGAAGGAAGCGCTTTCTCCCCTGCAGTGTTTTCTCAGCCGATGTTAAGGGCAGGCAGCGGCTAACAATCACAGGAGGCCAGAGAAAGGGATTTAAGTGTTATGCTACCTGCAGAGAGTTCCTGCGTGTCCGCTACTTATATTGACTCTGCTTTCCGGTCACTGCAACAGGGCTTCTTGTTGCTGCTGTTTCTTTGCCATCTACTATTCACCCTGCTTGCCATTCGTCTTCCAACTTATGCTCACTTGTAATGTAATCACATTAGAGAGGAAATCTCATTCTGTTTCACACCTTCCCTGCTGTGCCGGCTGTTAGTGTGGTTATTTTTTTCTTCTCCTCACATCGGCTGTTCCCTGTCAGAGAAATTCTGGTGACGATGGAATTGGCTCTTTGACATGGCAGAGTCGTAAAATAAGCACGGCAGTAGCGTGATGAGCGTTTAGAAAAGTGAACCCTTGTGTCGACTGCATGCAGAGGGGCGATGGAGCTGAGCTAACGTGCTGCTCAGCGTCGGCCTTTTGCCATCCTCTCTTAAACACACACTCGGGCCCCGAAACACATTCACAGCGGCCGCTGTGTCACTCTGTTTTCATTCCTTTGTGTCAAACTGCAGTGACCTCATCTCCCCATCAGGCCGTTTGCTATGTCTGTGCGCTATTAGCTACTTCCCTTCCTCTTTGACTCTGTCAAACGTGCACAAACACAAACACACACACCGATAACACCCAGAGGAGATCATAACTGAGTTGGAGATGACGGCGCCTCTGGGAAATCCCCTCTGGGGGTCAGGAGCAGCAGCGCCGCCCCGGGCCTCCTCTGGTCCTCCTCTGGTCCTCCTCTGGTGTTTAGGACGCCCCTGTTCCCACAGTGTGGGCTTCTTGTCTGCATCAGTATTCATGATGGAACTTCAGTTTGCTTCCTGCAGCCTCGCTGCCTGCTCAAGTGCCGTGATGCCAATTGATGTACCTGTATGTACCCGGACCAAAACACCCATATGTGTGAAAATGCATCTTACTCTTAATTTTGACCTGTCCTCCGCAACATTCCTCTGTTCCAGATAATACATAATCCCAGCTTCACATCATTATGTAGAAAGGAAAACTCTTTTCACAACACAGACATTTGAATTGCATGTGTTTACTTGCCTAAAATAGCTGTCAGTGCTAAGTGGTAACTTTACTGCTGCACTTCATGTGATGGGGGGGGGGGCTACCCACACCCACTCTGCAGCTCCCCTCCCTTTAGCATATCATTATAGTATTGGTTTAGTATAAACACGCTCATCAGTATTGTTTCCTGCATTAGGGAGCTGTTATTACTGAATAAGCTCTAAATTTTAATTGTACAATAGTTGCTCAACAACAGGTTTGCAACAGCTGATGAAGCTGTGTTTATCGTATGAAAGAGACCTTTGTTTCAAGAGTCGAATCAAAAGAAGAAGGGGGTGTAGTCCCTTGCTTCTCCGGGTGGCAAAAAAAACGTTGCTCTGAAACTGTGTTTAAAAAGTAATATGGTAATCGAATGTCACCGTGGTTGCTGCAAGCTCAATCATTTCTACTGTGTTGTACTCTAAATCCGTCCTTCGTCCCCACTCCCTCAGGTCAGTTGATTGAGCGAGTCCTCCTCTCTTCCATGCTGAACTCTGGGGTACAGTGGCAGACGTACCGTCACCACGGTCGGCCTCTCACTCTGGATTACCGGCTTCGCTTTCGCTGTGATTCAAATTACTACGGCCCTTTCTGCAACAAGCTGTGCAGGGCCCGGGATGACTTCGTCGGACACTTCATCTGTGACCCCAACGGCTCCAAGGTCTGCATGGAGGGCTGGACGGGGCCGGAGTGCAAAGAAGGTGAGAGAGGACATTTTGATCTGAGGTGTGTTACAGTACAGGACAAAATGTGTCCCGTTTAACCCCAATGACACCAAACTAACTGCTCCTAGCCTTTGGACACAGCCAAGCTATCTGTTCTGTCCTTATGCTAAGCTAACCAGCTGCCAGCAGTAGCTTCACATTTACTACGTAGATGAAAGTTTTTTTTAAATCTAACTCTCTAAAAGAAAGTGCATGTCTCAGAAAAACCAAACTATTCATTTTCACCAAATCTGCATCATGATTATTGTTGCTTTGTTGCGCAATTGGTTAATTCATTATCTGAGCAAAACAAATGCAGGATACTTATCGTCATGGTTTAGACACATACACATTTCAATTATTTGCCACTCGACCATAAATGGAAACCAAAATGTGCCTGCAGCGGAAACATATATACGGAACATATTTCAGGAATCGGGAAACATTTATTGCCAAAATATGTCAGACATACAAGGAATTTGACTGGGCAGTAGTAATAAAATAAAATAAAATGCTAATGCTAGTCACCTATATTTAAATACATTCAAATTTATAACATTGTTTTCAGAAAACTCTCATATATATTATATATATTAATATAGCTCATTGCAGAACAAATGTATACCAAAAGTGCTTTAAAGAGAAATTGGAAATATATTTTAAGATATGAAAATAAATGGTTTAGCTACAATCAAGTAACTATACAGTATAATTATTAATGGGTGATTTTAAAATGTTCATATATGGTGGAGACCTGATAGTGAAAATGAATGTGTTTCACAAACGATAAACTGTGGAATTTGTAATTAATAAACTAAAAAGGGTGTTTCTCAGGTACTGCTTGCTTACAGAGTTTGATTTAAAATGGTAAACATACAAACAGTCGCCTCACATGCCAAAGTCCAAAGACATGCAGATGGGTTACACGGTGAAATTGCGCGTAGGCGTGTGAATGGGAGATGGACATCTTGTGCGTCTCTACCTCAGCCCTGAGATTGACTGGCGACTCGTCTCGCCCTGTTGGGCTCCAGTCCCCCCGCTGCCCTCTGAAGGAGCAGCGGTTTAGAGGATGACTGACATGTACATATATTTGGGGAAAGGTTTGTTGCTGGATAATATTTAGCTAATATTTCCCTGTGGGTGACTTGAGGCCACTATTGAGAACAAACGGAAAATGTTTTTGCTTTTCATTTATTTTCCTACTTTCCCAGGAGGCGTTTCCTTCAAAGTTCCATGTGGTCCTTTTTGGTTTTTGACCTCTGAATCCTTTTTAAACTATCATTGTGATTAAGTGCTGTGAAAATAAACTTGACCGCTGAGCCAGTATCATCAACTTTTATTACGTGTGCTGTTTTGGATTCTTTCGTACACAAATATCTGCAATACTAACCCTAAAATCTACATCTGGATCTCAAACAGCTCATTGACCAAGTGAAGATCGGCCTCATGAGTGTCTTCACTTTCTGAAACTCGCTTGGCCACATAAGACTCAGCTACACATCAGTAAACACGCGTCAGCTGGCTTCGCAGTGTGTGTAGGGAGGATCATTCTCTCGTCAGTGACTCATGTGCTGGATGACCTCATCGCGTGACCTCCGAGTGCTGCCATCGTGTTGCGATGGTAAAAGTGAACGGAGGGAAGCCCGAAGGACGCGCAGCTAGTTTACGGACATCCTGCAGCCTTGCCCATCCCGCCGCTGTCTCACTAGATACGACCTCCTCCCCAGCAGGTCGCTGATTGGACTGCAGAGGTGCAGGAAGTCTGTAAAAATGAGCCGAGTTCCCTCTGTTACCCCCTGCAGGTAACTGGAGACAAGGGAGGATTTGTATGTCTGGTTCTACATCTGGAAACTCTGAGTAGCCAAACTAAATAATGTCGCGGGCAAATATTGAGATTATATTGAGATTTTTTTGAGGTGATGTAGGTTTTATGAAAATACCTGGTAGAGATCCAGATGTGTTCGTGTGGATTGCGGGTTTTAATGCTCAGTCACTCCATTGAACGTCACTTCTAGCCTCTAATAATTTCCCTTCTGTGTGTTTTGTTTGCAGCGGTGTGTCGGCAGGGTTGTCATCAGACCCACGGCAACTGCACTGCACCTGGAGAATGCGAGTGAGTCCAAAGAACGCTGAATGAAAGTTCTTTTAACTGTAGGCATGAGCATGGTAGACGCCACGGCTGAATGACATGTCACATGTTCAATATCAATGCCATGATGAGCAAGTAACCGCGCTATAAGCAACCACTTTCAGGGGAAACTGGAATTTAACTAAATTCAATACAATCGACAGCAACATGTTAAACAAAATACATGGATATGAAGCCTACTGTTATTTACTGAACCTTTTCTAAGCACTCACTTTCTGTGTGGTGTGCAACCAAACTGCGTCACCTCACGCTGAGTTGTTTTTTAACCATTGTCAGGTTCAGAGTTTGAATCCCATGGACATGTTGCATCAACAGGCCGGTGCTATTTCCACTCAGACATGACCCGAGTGACTCTTAAAAATACTGATGTGAAAACCGCTGCATATTACTGCCTGCGGTTAAGTATCCATTGTTTTAAAGGTTTCCTGTCTAGATCTACAGTGGCAGAAACCAGAGCCAGTTACATTTGATTGATTAATTTAACTGGACATTACCAAAGCATGCACACAAAAATGACTAATGTTAAGAACAGTCACCATGAATCCTACAAGGCGGCACGAGCAAGCGTTTGGTTGTTCTTCCTTCTCGCTAGGTGTCACTATGGCTGGAAGGGCCCTCTGTGTGACCAGTGCGTGACGTTCCCCGGCTGTGTGTACGGAAGCTGCGGCGAGCCCTGGCAGTGTGTGTGCGACGTCAACTGGGGAGGACTGCTGTGTGACAAAGGTATGACATGAGACAGAAGTTAAACGGTATTTCTTTTATTTAAGAATGAAAAAAAAGGCCCAGTTTTTTAATTTTACTGTTAGCATTTAATAGAAGCACTTTTTTACACAGCGAAACTCTGTGAATACAGACGTGTCACCCGCGTATAGATGAAAGAGGTTTGAAGACAATAGTGTCAGTTTTTCAGGCGTGGTTCTTTACACGTTTTCCCGTGCACGGATCCTCTGCATGAGAGAAGACAAAGGTCCTTAAAGGCTTCAAGCCCTCCGGCCCCACACACAACACTCAAACCTTTCCCACCACACATGGTAGTTATTATTATACAATTGTTATTGCAGAATATAACAGCACACCTCCCGCCTCTTTACCAGTGCGGGCGCTGGGATCCGGGAGCCCAGGGGACGGTGTATTGTGCGGAGGAAAGGTGATAGCCTCGGGTAGGGTGGATGCGAGCGGGGACGGGCTCTCAGACTCAGGTGGAGTCCAATGGGGTTTTTTGTGTATTCTGAAAGACTCATTAAAGAGCCATTGTGAGATAAAGCGCCTGTAAGCATGGAGGAGATCACCACAGGAAGCTGGAATCAGCCTGAACACCGGAAGCAACGGGCTCTGCAGCTACTGACCTGCACAGTCGCCACACCGAACCTGGACTTCTGCGTGTGTGTGTGTGTGTGTGCGCGCGCGACAAACTGAAGTTAACCTGGATCGTTCTTCCTCCTTATTCCTGTATCTTTTGTTGCCTTTAAACTTTTTTTATCTTCTGTTTTAAACTGAAATATAAACGTATACTATTATGCTAAGTATAGCACTTTATGACTCCAGATCTGAACTACTGTGGCACCCACCAGCCATGTAAGAATGGTGGGACCTGCACCAACACGGAGCCAAACGCGTACCACTGTGAGTGCCGGGATGGTTTCAGAGGACGCAACTGTGACATTGGTAAGTTTTTGGATCCTGGCCAAGAAAACAAATTATTCAAATACAAAGGTACAGCAATATGAAATTGAAATCATGGTTGTTTGTTTTCACAAATTCAAGAGAAGCTCATGCAAAATGAGAGAGATACTATTTTATGCAACATGAAGCAAAAGTGGGGCTCAAATTTGGAATGTTGAAAATAGTAAACACATCAATATAAACAGCAAAATAATAATTCAGAAATAACTTTACAGATGAAACCCAAAGGCAAACATTTATAATCTATTCATTAAAAATCCATTTGAGTTCTTTAGTTGACTATACAAGATCTTGTAAGTAATAATAATATAAATCAAATTCTCAAATATATATGACATATACGTTATGATGCAATAATGTCACTCAATTGTCTGAAGTGACATAGAAAAAGTGCTCATTGCGTATCACAAGCACACATCTGTCCACATCCACACGTACGTATGTGTCATCCGTCTTTGTGCTCATCTCCTCCTCCGTCAGTGGAACATGCGTGTTTGTCGTCACCGTGTGTGAATGGAGCCACCTGTGTGGAAGACCCAACGGGCTTCAGCTGCACTTGTACCGACGGATGGACCGGACACATCTGCGCTGATGGTGATTGCCATTGCCACACACACGCACACACGCACACAGACACACACACAGACTGATTTGTAGTAATTGGATAAAAGCCAGTCGGTTACTCTAATCAATCAAACAGAGGAAGCTAAATTAGCCGGAGCACAAACGGCAATCAGTGGTCCGCCTCGCCCTGTTCTCGGCTTTGTGTGTGTGTGTTTGTGAGTGTGTGTGTGAATAGTATTTACATTGCCAAGAAAAGGTGAAGCAGAGCATCTTTGAACAATATTGATTAACTGTGAAAGAGGTGAACCGGTGTGTTCATTATGTATTTTTTATGGCAGTGAATCAAGGGCTCATTATCTGGTGTCTCTTATTGGGACACAATGTCCTGCATTAAAGCACGTCCAGACTTTGATGCAGATGAGGTGGATTAGTTTGCAAATGTCAGCAGAGTGCGTCACAAGCACCTGGTCCGACAGGTGTGGCTTTGGCTCTGCTCAATGAGTGGGTTCTCGTGGCATATAAAAGAAAAACAATTGGATAAATGACTCGATCGAAACACAATGCGGATCGTGAAGACGGAACGAACTACTAAGTGAATGTTAGCAGACTTTAGTTCCACACGTGGGAATTTGTGAGGCGACATCCTGTTCCCTCATGATGTGCATTCATGGGGGAAGTTGTTTGGGACCGAAGCGTCTGCCAAATGAATGTAATGTTATCAGAGTGTGTATGCTCAGCGAGGAACATGAGACCAACGCTAACCAGCATGACAATACACACTGGTGTTCAGAACAGGAATGATATGTTGTTGTTGGCGTTTGTCCTCATCCGTTTGGGGACATTAGTTTGCTGTACAGTTGTCTGATGCTTCTTCTAAAAATACACAATGCTTGACTGTCTAACTTTGGACCTTCCAAAGACTGCTACCAGTAACACCGGCTGTCCGATAACGACATGGCGTGCGATCTGGTTTTGACTTTTAACAGCAGGATTTCTGACAAAAAACCTGGTCACCTTGTCATATAATTCAAGTTCAGGGTTTTATAAGAGTGTAGAAGTGTGGCGGGATTAAATAATAATTAAATAATAATAGAATAATAATAAATCGTTAAAGATAGAGGTACATCCTCGTATTGAAAAAATATTTCATTCAAGGTTGAATTAAACTCAAATAATTTCCCATGATATCTCTAAAATAAGTTTTAGAGATATCTGAAAAGATGACTTTTAATGGAAAGTACATTCAAGTTAGGAAACATCAGATCATACAGGATTCCCAGGATCCAAATCTCATTATCCGCCCCATTCTTGGATAATATTGTTGAGGTTCCACATCCCCACAATACATAACATGTTTTTGTTATTTGTTAGTTAGTCTTAATTACAAATAAAGTTACATTTCAGTGTAAATACAAAAGCCCCTTTAAATGTCCCTTTAAATTGACCTTGAGGAGCCTCTTTCCTAAGTCACACTAAAATACACTTTTATAAGCATCAACAGATAGAGAAAATGTTTTGCATGCACTGTCACAAAGTTCGATCTGTCCCCATCTGGATCCCCGATTCACACATTACATTTTGTAGCAGCCCTCACACCACGTACCCCGTTTTACAGCGTGGATAAAGTTACAACTGAGCTGTCACAACCGTCAGTCATGGACTCGGTGTCTGTCTCGATCGGGGCAAACAACGCTGGCCTGAAAGAACAGAGAAGGCACAAACAGAATAATAAAGGTCTAGTTTATTGTTGCCCCTGTTATTTGTTTCCAGAGGCGATCTGTCTGTGTGTGTGTGTGTGTGTGTTGTGGGAGGCGTCTCTTGGGAGATACGCAGTGAGAGGATTGTCAGGATTGGAGAGAATGACTATAACCGCAACACAGCTTACAGACTTAGACGCATATATATAAATAATCAATCAAGGCTTTTATGTTTGTTATGCATTCCTCATCTAGTTCTGGTGGACGTGCTGCCATCTTGGCTGGGTTATTATTGGAGTCGGGGTCATGGGGTTTGAAAATGGTTTCTCTGCAGGGTGAGGTACATGACAAAAGGTCATGAGACAGAGAGCTCTTGACTAAAATATGCATGGCACATGTTCCTGCACGGGGGAAAAATGACGATGGCCCAAATGCGCAAATATGCTTTGTGTAATAGCAAGTCAGGGATGGTTAACTCTTAATATGAGAGCTTCTCTCTGTCTGTGCTCCTCACATTTCTTTGTCAGTTTTTAATTCCTCCTCACAGAAGCGGAATCAGGCATGGCAGCCCTTTTTCTCTCTAGTTAGCTCTGTCTCTCCTTTTTTTTCCCCCCACCCCTGCTTCCATTTATTTAGATTCCACCTTTCCCCACTTTTTGAGGTGACGGCCGTGTCCGTGCGCCAGATGATTTGTTTATCGCTGTTTGCACAGACACCAGAGCAGCAGAATAGAGAATGAAAACACGGCCCGCTGAAGCATTCGCATGCCAACGCCACAGATCACACACTCAGTGACACACAAAATGTCTCTTTGATATGCACACACGCACAGTCCCACTACACAGTGCAGTTGTTCACATGCCATATTTCCTCTTCCCAGCGGTGAGGCAGTGTGATCGGAGCCCCTGTGGCCGTGGAGCAACGTGTCAGGAGGCTCCTGGAGGATACCGGTGCGTCTGCCCGCCCGGGTGGACCGGCAGGACGTGCCAGCTGGGTCAGTGTCTACGTCCACTTCAGAGTACTGTGATCGAGGCAAAGAGTGGTGCTCGCTATGATTCAGTGTCGTCTTTTAGCCGCGATGATAATAGTTATGTCATTCTACGGACTCCGTTCAGTAGCTGTTACTCGGTGGAGTAATGAAAGTGTACATTTGTGTCGTGTACATTTCTTTGTACACTTTAAGACTTTCTGATTCATGTCTGGTTCAAAGTTGTGATTTGAAAAACAGTCACACCACACGGCCCATTGAGCAGCTGTTTGGGAGCTTTCAGTGGGACTAGTTAGTGAAGGTTTTGTCTTATGACTTATGGAACACAGTACACGGGTTTGACAGCGGTTTAAATATTTTCATTTCACATATATTTTCAGTATGGCGATATTATGCAAAAATTGGTTTCAAGCATTTTAAAAAGCCTTAATGAAAAGGAATGTATGCAAAGAAAGACTGGAAAACTGAGATGCAAATAGTGTTGTCTGTACTCTGTACTGTACAACTAATCACTCAAATATTACATTTCAACCTACATCTGACAAATGCCCACAGCAAAGACTAAAACGCCGGCGGAAAGAAATGCAATCTGAGAAGTTTAGCGTACTGTGGTTCTTTGTAACAATGATCATTTTTCATCATTAAAGCTTGTGGCTACAGTATACAAATATCTATTAATGAGAAAATCTCATATTCATCATCCTCAAAGGAATCTATTCCGTTTTAACACCGAACCTTAAATCAATCCGAGCTGAAATTCACAGCTGGTTTCATAAACTGTGATTATGTTTTTCTTTTGTAGCACAAATGAAACAGACACAGAAGGCCGGCGCCTGTTTACTCTCGTATCAAGTCCCCCTGACTGAGAATCAGTAGTCTCCAAACGTGCCGTCTCCACGCTTTGGGCCGTGTTCACTCATATTGAAAATATACTCCCAGCGGGTTGTTGTTGGTGTACGAGGAAAAAGTGTACAGGATCAGTTCACACAAATACACACACACACACACACAAACACGGAGAGCATACACTATATACACAATCCATACAGAGGCTCGCGGGTTATGAAGTAAAAAGTGAGGCATATTTCAGGATGACAGCCTCTCCTGCTCCTCTGTGTTACAGTGATATGTCACTCTGACACTTGATAATCCCCCACAGTTCCACATCACAGATCAGTAGCTCACACACACACACACACACACACACACACACACACACACACACACACACAAAGTGGTCTAACGCAAGTGATAAAACTGAGCTTAGAGGCAGAGCATCAATAGAGCCTCCAATGGGGAAAAGCAATTTCACTTTCTATCAGTTCCACTCTTTTATTAGCCAACTTCTGTCCCCACATTTTCTCTACAGGCTTTTTCATAGATAAAACACACACGCGCGCACACACATATATACTCTGCTAAATCCCAACAGGCCTCTCACTGACTGAAACAGGTTTAGATTACCTATAACTGACCAACTGCTTCCTCTTTATCCATTCAGCGTGTCTTTCTAATCCTGCTGCCAGAGACAAGCCCTCGGGGGGGTTCCTGGCTTTTTACACTGCCAGTGGAACAGAGGGTGGGAAAAGGAGACACAAATGCACGTAACGGAAGCAGCGGTACAGCAGTGGGGTCTGTGCAGGGAAGATGTGAGGAGATGCTGCAAGGCATTGCTTTGGATGTGCTGTTTGTAAACACAACATTCAGCCCGAGCAGCCTCTCTGTCTGCGTCCTGCTGGCGTCCACCCAGCGATTTCCCACCGCAGTGTTCAGATCAATCATCCGCTCCAAAATTTAATTTAACAGGTGGCTGAAGATCGTTGGGACCGAGTTTACAGCGGTGCTTTTCATTATTATAAATTTGGTCGATAATGGCACTTTGTGGAGCTTGTAACTTAATTTGCCTTTATAATAACCTCCTAAACAATAAACTATAAACAATAATGCATATGGTATGTTTCTATACTACCGCATAGGGTAATATGCTTGTTCAAAATCATTTGCGATTTAAATGTTGCATTGGATTAAAGCATCAGCTAAATTAAATGTAACGTACTATAATGTCCAAGTAGAATCAAATGGGAGCAAATGCAGAAAGTGCTCAGTCCAAGTGGTTTAGATGTATCAGAGGCGTCAGATGTGATGTCTACAGTAAAGATGAAATGTTAATCCGAAAATTCTTCTTTCTCCCTTTAGACACCAACGAGTGTGAAATGAGTATATGTGTCCACGCACGCTCTTGTCGCAACTTGATAGGTGGATACCTGTGTGACTGCCATCCCAAATGGACGGGGCCCAACTGTGACATCAGTAAGTATAAAGGGGAAATAAGGGAATAAAAGAAGGAAGGAAGGATTGTGTGCAGCCCGGAGAGGAAGATGAAGATGAATCCCCAGAGGATTGTGTTTAAACAGCAGTTCCCCTGCAGCACAGGATCTCTGTGGGCTGCAGATCATTTTACTCAAAGGCCAGTTCTATTAATCGTCTGTCACAGGGAATCGCTGCAACACACAAAAAACGTAACACTAACCATAAGGAGTGTGTGAAGTTTCATCTTTTTTTATATTATCTCCTGCTCCTTAAAATCCAATCTGACATCCTGGTTGCACACAATTCGGCCACATCATTAATCTGCGTCTGTTCACTTTGTATGTTGTTGTTGCTGTAAGCACAGACATATCAGTTCACCGTGTGACAGATTAATATGGTCTGTGCTTTCTCTGATTTCTAGGGAACAGCAGCTGTCAGGGTTTGTGCTTGAATGGTGGACGTTGTGAGGTGAGACTCCCGGTGCTTATGTCCTCTGTGCATATGACAGCTTCACTGTCTTCCTCTCAGTCTCTGGCATTCACTGCAGTGACAGTGTCACCTGCTTTCTATCGTTGATTGTCTTCAATCGCACACCTTAAGATTCTTACACAACTCGGAAAACAAAGGTTTAATCTTTGTCCTTCTTGTTGCTGCCTCTTTTTCATACGAGCTGTGAGTGACACGCGCTATATACTGTCCCATGTAGGACCAGATGTCCGCCTCCAGATGCTCGTGCCCACCTGGTTTCTCTGGGAAATATTGCCAGATTGGTCTGACTCCCTGTGACAGCGCCCCCTGCCTGCACGGGGGACAGTGTGTGGAGCAGGATGGAAAGACCGTCAAGTGTAACTGTCCCACAGGATACTCAGGAGACTTCTGTGAGGTTGGTCAACCTTCATAGATGTTAGTTTAAGGCTGGCTTAGTCTGCAGATTCGTGTCATCTTAATGAAAGACATACGTGGTGAAAGTTAATGGGGAGGAAGACGTCCAAGTCCCATTCAATCTGGAAAGCATCAGGGTGTAATGATAGAAAAAATCGAATAGTCGAATACATAATGAAAATAATTAATTCATTAAATCATGAAAACATATAGAATATAAAATCATTCACATTACTGACACTATATTTGATGTCAAGCTGTTACAAAGAGATTTAAAGGAATATTGATAACAAAAAGTGCACCATCAAGGTACATAAAACCATTTGGAGAAATACTAATACTACTAAACTCATTTCCTTTCTCCCTTGTGATTGGTGTATAGAGCCCATGTTTAAACTATACCAAAACATCTGTTTGCAAACTCTCACACAACTTGAGCAGTATAATGAGATTCTAATTAATACAAAGAAATGCTCACTCCTTCCAAAATACATCCGTTTACTAAAATCCAGCCGACATTTGGTACGTAGAGATGCTCTTACATTAACTACATACGTAAAAGATAAACAGAATTAATACATTCAATTTGTTAAACATTAAGCAGATGTCTTAAATTTATTGGGACTGGTTACCAGTATAGTACCCCAACAAAATCTACAGATAATTCTCCAACAAGAGAAGTACAATAACTTTCCCTTTCGATATTTACTACGTCACCGATCTGACAAAATAAAAGTAATCCCAACTGTTTATTTCCATGATCACAGAAAGCGCCGGTGGATATGTGCAATCCCAACCCTTGCCACAAGGGGGCGCCTTGTCACAGCACAGAGGGCAGATACTTGTGTGCATGCCCCGAGGGTTATTACGGTAACGAGTGCATGAACCTCAAAAATCCCTGCATTGGTCAGCACTGTCCAGGTAAGAAAAAAAATGGGTGTGTGTCTTAAAACATACAAAATCTCTATGAAGTCTGGTCTTACTCTGCCTCCGTGTCTGCAGGTGCCATGTCTGACACAACACACGGGGGGGCCAGCTTCTACATCATCCTGGTCGGGGTCTTAGTTTTAGTGATGGTCTGCGGCTGTGCGGCCTGCGCCTTGATCCTCTCACACCTCCATCGAAAGCAGAAAAAGCAGCAGGCCGTCCCGCAGGAAGAAGGCATCAACAACCAGAGGGAGATTGTCAACCTCATCAGAAACGTGGACCGTCCCGTCCCCCTCCTGTCTCCTGCCGCCCCCCTCTCACAGCCCCCGGCCCCGATCTCACGTTGCTACGAGGAGATTGAGCTGACGCTGCCGCCCTCCCCGGCACCTTCTCACCCGTCTCCAGCACTAAAGGCTCCCCACGGCTCAAAACTGGACATTTCCAACCGGGAGAGGGAGAAGTTGAACCGCATCCACCACACAGACAACCAGGAACTGGAAGCCTGACCCTTGAACTTTTGGCCTGCGGAGGAGCTTTTTTTTTAAAGCTCTATTTCATTTTGTGTTCTTCGCACTCTTTCGCCAACGGGGGACATGTTTCCAGTTTCTTGCACTATGTCACTGTGGCAGTTGTAAAAAGGAGGTGACCTAATGACCTTTAGGGGCTCAAATAGCACCAGAAAACACCTGAGGAGCGATGGCTGCTAAGAAAGAGGGTCAAAAGTCCAACTGTCGTCTTCGACTTTAATGACTAGGAGAGGCAGCAGATGCATGATTGCATGACTGACTCATCAGACTTGATTTATTCTTGAGGCCTAAAGACTTGCCTTGGAGTGCCTGAGATACAGTCTAGAAGAAATCATCTTCTGCAGGAGCTTCTCAAACTGTTTCCTGGTCCATGATGCCATTTGAATGCTGTTCAGACTTCCATGTCTGATTCTGACTGAACCCCGAAAGAGAGATCAACGAATTGATGCTTATTTAACACTAAATGTGTGTGTCTGTGTCTGGTGGTGTGTTAAGTTTGAGCGGGGAAGAGAGAATGTATATTATGAGTGTATGTGTGGGAGGACACATTAAGTTGGTATACATGTATGTGCAAGCCTTTGTTTTAAAACTATACACTGTTGCCTGTGTTGTCTTTGTACTACTCCAGCTTGTGGAAGATGTGTGATTGTTTCATACCTGCGTGTAAAGTATCTTTTTTTGTACATGAGTATATTGTACATATTGATGCCCTTTTTGTACTGTGGTTCGGTCTCAAAGTATCACTGTATTGCTTTGCTCCGGTTGCTCTATTTCCCTTTCCATTTGGATCAGCACACGTGGATTGTAATAAAAGTGCATTAACCAACCCTATTTCCTTTTATAAATTGCCTGTAAACATCACTTACCAGAGTCACAGCCGTCGTTAGTGGGAAGTGTCAGAGGTTCCACACAGAGATTATTGACTAGTGTCATCAAGCGTAAAGTGTGTCACCGCCTTTTTATATGTGTATAACGATTGCTATGACAAGCTTTGTTGTTAATGTTATCAGACGCCAAAGCAATGATATTTGACAATAGGGCAATAAGGAAAACGTGTTGTAGTCTTTTGAAGTTCTCATTTCCTGTGTATTTATTGGTTTGTAATTTAAGTGGGTTATAAAGTCATAAATTGTTTAGACGCAGTTGTCATCACCTTTCAACCTCTTGAAGCACAAGTTGTTCCATTTGTACAAATATATATTGTGCAACCACAAGTACTTCTACAGCGTCCTTACGGAGACCAAATATCTAACGCTTAAGGAAGTTTTATGAAAATGTGTAAGTAATCTAGGGGCTATTTCCGTTTTACTCTTACATACATTTAAGGATAAAATTCGGTAGTGTTGGGTTTACGTGATAAGAAAAAGCCTGATTGACCCCAGTGCTCCTCTAGAACGACCATGTGGTTGTGAGTATCTTGTCTGTTGTTGGAAAGTTGGTCATACTGTCATTATACCGTCTCTTAACCTCAGTGGTTGTAAATGCCTTGTAATCGTCAACCTCAGAGGTTTTTTAGGATATTGGTAAAGTATGACAACAAAAACATGTTTAACTACTCAGACTCTTCCCACAGCTGCTGTTTGCTCCCGGGACGTCAGCGCTATAAAAAGTAAAGATGTTCCATCTAAATACCTTTTTATATCCCCAGCGATGCAGCTGACACTAGTTTGTCAACTCCTCCTTTAAACAGAATCTTTCTGGTGTGTGTCTGCGACTCCCCTGACAGCCAGTGGGTAATAGTACAAAAACAATGTAATCTGCGGTTTAGCAATGATTGACTTTGGGATCATAATTCCAGCATTTATTAGGGGCCCATTGATCATTATGAAACAGACTGTTTGCATCACATGCTTCTTTGTAGTTGCAGAATTATTCATGTCGATTCTGGATTGCCTATTTGATATTTTTCCACAAATAAATACTGTTTGTTCTTATTTTATCATTCATTACACTAAAGTAATCTCAAAAGTGAGGACGGCTTCAGAGTTATGGGCATTTCTACTGTCTTACAGGGACATCTTGTGGTCACAGCATGAACACAAACGTTCAAGCCGCTGGCATTTTTCAAATAGTATATCAAGTGTTACTGATATTACTTTTTGATAACACATGAGGAAGGTATGAGGAATTAAAAGGTTCTCATATATCCTTAAAATTGTGAGCACTAGCAAGGGTTAACAGTACAAAAAAACATGTATCAACTCTTCGAACTGACCGGCTACTTTGAATAAAAGTAAATTTACAATGTGGAAGATTGTGGTATGGACCTGTTATGACAAATCAGGGTATCTGAATATTTTACTAAAGTGAAAGTACCGACCCATACCACATTACAAAAAGTCTGTTACAAGCAAAATCCTCCATTCAAACTCAAACTATCCTATTACCATTAAAAATGTATCAAAAGTAGAAACACCCATCATGCAGATTGCCCCGTTTTGGTATACCATGTTATGTTTTAGGGGTGGAAGGAAATTAAAGAATTGACAGTCTCTAAAACATCCCAATAATCAAAAACACATTGGCATGGAGAGCAAGAGCCCAAAAGAAGCACAAGTAATTTACCTATTGAGAATAGGGCCGCCAGGCTGAAATGAAACACTTGATAGAATATGAAAACATTGTACTGTATCAGGTATGACCTAGAGTGAACTGGAAATAGTCGAACCAATATACTGATAGACTGCAATGTGTACAACGAGGAACGGAAGAAGTTAATATCAGGGTTAAATGAAATGAAAACAAGGGGACTTGCTAACAGAGACATCAAGGAGAATACAAAGTACCCCAAATGAATTAATTGTAAAATAACAGGAATAACACAATTCATTTAGTTAGGATTTTATTTTGGTCCTGCTAGACTAATGGTGCCAGTCCCAGCAGGTGGCGGTAATGGGCCTTTCAGTTGGTTATTGTCATTAAACGTCTTCAGAAGAAGAAGAAGAAGTAGGAGGAAGCAGGATAAAGAAGAAGAAGAAGAAGTAGGAGGAGGTGTGTGACACTCCGCTATCGTCGCTCTCGGCAGACTGAAAACAACCCAAGTGTGTGTGTTGGTGCTCATTAAAACCGGTACGACGTGCATTTTATCATTAAGCCGAACATGTGGCGCATCTGTATTCCTTGTATTGTTGGCGTTAAAGCGTCTGTGATAGACACGTTGCTGCTGACGCCTTTGAAAACTAGCTAAACTAAAGTCATGCTAGGCTAGCTGTGATGCTAACAGCGTTTCGCTGACTGCAAAGGCCCGCTCGTACGTGAACGCTTTTTAACTCCTCGCTCATTGCGGTTTGGCATGTGAAATCCTACACGAAGGATGCATAAATAATCGATTTTAAATGAAGTTAATAATGCATGGACGGTGGTGTTGTGTATCTTAAGTTAGATTAAGATAGGCGGTAAACCACGTTAGTTTGCTGTTAGCACTTCGGCTGCAGGCGGTTTAGCTGCTTCTGAAATATTGATCTAACGTTACCAAACAATCACTAATAACGCGGAGACCTTTAACAGACTAAAACAGCTTAGCTGTGCCTCTTGATTGAATACTGTAGCTATAGTTCATGTACAGTCACAACCACTGGTCGTGAACTTTAATTTGAGATTGAGTCATAATGTAGTAAAAAAATGGCAGTAACTATCAGTTGTTTTTGTTCCCTTAAACGTCACTTCCCATTTCCACGACAAATATTGTCAATAGCCAGGGCCATGTGGAAATTATTAGTATGCAAAGAAAAAATTAAGCTAGCAATTCACTTACTGTAAATGCCTTACGGGTCTCCTTTTGATATCAGTACATTTTCAATATACACAAGCTAATTTGTGTTAATTTGTTTGGATTAAACCTCTTTAATGACCCACAGTATTAATAACATCAGTCAAATAGAGAAATGATCAATAATAATCCGTCTGAATAATTAGTTTGATATATTGCCTGCCCTTTAGAATACTGTACTTTAGAATATTGAGTTACACTTGACTACACTAAAATAATGTTCTCAGGGTTTGGCTACCAGAAGCTATGTGTAGCATTCTGAGTTCTGTGTGTGCAGCTTGTCTCAGTCAAATATGTATTTTAAGATATATTTTTGTACCTCTTTGTCCTCTACGCCTCCTCTACATCCATATTTGACCTGCGTTGCCTCATGTCCTTCTATGCTCTCTCTCTCTCTCTCTCGTGTTTCTTCTCTCTCTTCCACTTCCACAGCAGCCGTGCCACGCCGCGCCCCCACCCCCAGCGGCGCCGTCATGTGGCAAGAGGCCCGCAAACATGAGCGCAAGCTCCGCGGCATGATGGTAGATTACAAACGCCGAGGAGAGCGACGGCGGGAGTACTACGAGAAGATCGTAAGAGACTTTTATTACTAATAGATCTGGGCGACAAATCCAAAGACATTTGAATATGCTGCTTCAGTGGAGCTCTGTGGCAGGAGATCCTCTCTGCCTCGATCCTCTAAATATCGAGTGTTGTTAGTGGTCTTTATAAAGAAAGGAAGTAGAGCTCACAGACCAAGTCGTCCCTGCTCTGAATTGACCATGAGAGGCATCTGTTGGCTGAATGATGCAACTTTAAAAGTCTACACCACAACTCCCGTTACTTGTTCTGATGGTGCTGAGGCGCCGGTTTAAGCTTTCATTAGGACGATGCGTTGGCTGAGACTCCTCCACCTCCTGCGAGCTCTCTATTTCTACTAGTGTTTTTTTTCCCCTCCTTTGTAAAGCACTAGATACACAAGCCAATATTTTCCTTATGGGTGCAACAGAGAATAACATAAAGGAGTGTTGTCAGTATAACATCTTTCCCAATTTGGTTAGCTAGTTTATCTACTTAGTAACAAGATGTCATGTTATGGTCTTCAGATTGCCTCTCATTTTGTCTTGACAGAAAAAAGATCCAGCTCAGTTTCTCCAGGTTCATGGCCGAGCCTACAAGATCCATCTGGATCCTGCCGTGGCGCTGGCTGCAGAGAGCCCCATCAACATGTGAGCACCCCCCCACCCGTGGACCATTCCATTAAGGGCTCCAAGAAGAGCAGGGCCTTAAGTCCAAAACATTAAACACTTATGTCATGTTACATGTTAACATTTGTCTTTGTATCATTTATATAAGTAGATTTTAAATACATTTTTAATTTCTTCAACTGGTTGTGGTAATTAGTGTCAATTAAGTCAGATTAAGTATGGGATAAAATCAATGTTTAGAGGCACACAAGTTAATTAAGCAACAACTGCAGATTAGCCTACCTGAGCTAAAAACTATGAGTTTCATTTAGGAACTAAACAAACTGAAAACTAGACTAACCACCACACGTCTGGCTGGTGAACTGTCTTCTTGTAACTTGCCCTAAGTGCTCGGTGCTTGTGAGATCTTTACATTATTCCTCCTCCTCTGGTTTTGTCACAAGGATGCCCTGGCAGGGAGATGCCAACAACATGATTGATAGGTTTGATGTACGGGCACATCTGGACTACATCCCCACCTACACTCCTCCCCTGCTCAGCACATCGTAAGTTCTAAACTTCCCTCATGTTGCACTCAATCCACAATCTGTCCACTGTGAAGAGGTTCTGATGTTTCATTTGCTGCCTTGTGATTCAGGCGGCGTGGTCTAAACATTTAGTCATACTTCAGATGATTCTACATGATAACATGTGGGGCTCTTGATCAAAGGAGAACACATGGGATGATAACAAGTAGTCATTTGATAGTGCTTCAGCTTGTTTATACAACATTTATCCATATTGAATGTGTTGCATTCCCAAATTGTACCAACTTGGACACTGTATATTCTTGGCTTTTCCTAGCAGCAAATTTGAGGTACATCGGATAAACTGTCCCCGAGATCAAATGTGAAGGACACAGACCGATTCCTTGCTCTATAGTTAAATATAAATTAACTTTGGCTAATATGCGACAACTATTGTCCTTTTCTTGTAGTTAAGTTTAAATGCCTAGAGGAAGGTATTTTTTTAATTAATTTACATTTCTCATTGCATCATAAGGCTAAGACAATTATTGGATGCATTTTCTACCATCATCCCTCTACTATTACATTGGTACATTTCACCACCAATGTTGATCAAAACACTGCTTTTTGTCGTTTGTTATTGATCAAATTCAAACCAAAAAGGCTCCTTAAAATTTGGTCAAATAATAAACAGCCTTGTGCTCTTTGTCCCATACAGAACCCCAGAGCAGGAAATGGAGGAGAGAAAGTCCAATTATGAGCGATACAGAGGCCTTGTGCAGAATGACTTTGCCAACAGTGAGTTTCACAAAGCTGAAATGTTTCATGTTGTAGCTTAACACATGTGTTCTTAATGTGCCTGTAATAGTCTATTAATCTGCCCTCAGTGGGTGTATTTTTCAGTTGTTGTGCTCTTAAACTCCCTGCTGTCCCGCAGTCTCTGAGGAGCAGTGTTTGTACCAGATCTACCTGGATGAGCTTTACGGTGGCTTGCAGAAACCAAATGAGGACGAAAAGAAAAGGTATGTCATTGTTGTGTTATCACAATTCCTTTTCCTCCCCACTGAGCAATTAAATCAATGCTTACTAGAGTCTGTAGGTTTGCGGTGCGTTTCTAAATGTTTGTTCTGGTGGTGCAGACTGGCTGAAAAGAAGGCCTCCATTGGTTACACCTACGAAGACAGCACGGTGACGGAGCCAGACCCCGAGTCCGACAAAGATGAAGAGAATTCAGAGAGCGAATCCGAGGAGGATGAAGGCATCCCAGATATTGGTGAGTAAAGCGAATTCTGCCGAGATTAACCAGTTTATTCAGAAATGTTAGTTTTAGTCTTAGTCCTTGTGAGCTTTTATCATCTGTTGCTTTATTTAATTAGTTAGGTTGAGTTGCCTAAACATCTGGTTAATTATAGCTTCGTAAAAGTCATAGTTGTTTTATTAGACATTGTTTTTTATTCAACATTTCAATCTAGTTTAACCAGAATATCATCTACTTAATCCCAAGCCCTGTTATCATTGTCAGCTTTAGCCTAAGCAAGCTGCTGCTGGATACTGTTTAGAGGAAATAATCATAGTCTGTCAGTTTGTAATATATCTATAAATTCTTCTTCCATCAATTTGCTGTTTTTCCCTCTATTATACAAATGTAGTTGCATGCAGTGAACTGAGGATCGTCTCTGTCTTCGACATGTAAAGTGTGAGGACTTTTTTGTCTGCGTGCAGATGTGGAGGTGGACGTTGATGAGTTGAACGAAGAACAGGTGTTGGACGTGAACAAAATGGCAACCCCGTACGGAATGGCAGAAGGAGACTTTGTCAGGTAACATATCCGGGATTTTATTGTCGCGTCTCAAAGGTTAACCGCAGAGCAAAGGCTGTAATGCGTTATGATTGACATTCTTTCGCTGTAATACTTTTCTGAGCGAGTCAGTCAGTGGTGAATGAACTCTTGTTAAAAAGGTTTTGTAAGTATTGTTAGAACTTTAGATAAGCTGTAGCAACAACTTACACGATTGATATCTTTTGATAATATCGTCTTTAACAAATCCCAGAAAATAGAAAAACGATTCTACCGTATTGTCCCTGTAGCCTCAACGCTGATAAGCCTCACAACATTAAACTTCAGGGATTTCTGTGTGTGGTGTCGCATGCTCAGGCAGTTTGTTCACTGCTGCACAGACACATTGAATGTGCTCACGGACGAGCTTTCCATGTGAATATTTCTCCCCAAATCAACTGAATGGTTGTTGACTTTTTATGTGTTTATTTTCACTGAGCAGTTAAAAATGTCAATCCTAATAATTTGTTGTTGTTGTATCACTGTTAACGTAACGTGTTCATCAGGATGTTGAGGAAAGACAAGGAGGAGGTGGAGGCCATCAAACACGCCAAAGCGCTGGAGGCGGAGAAGGCCATGTACTCGGTAAGACGACATCCACCGAGAAACATTGTGTGATGCGTAAATGACCATTAGTGACACATTTGATCATTTTAGGGCCGGCGTTCTCGCAGACAAAGGAGAGAGTTCAGAGAGAAGAGACTGAAGGGTAGACAGATCAGCCCACCAAGGTAAACGTGAGGTTCTCCTTGTTAACATTAAATTGGGTTATTCTATTAATGAAACATGATCTGACTCATAACATCATTCTCCTTTTTAGCTATGCAAGGAGAGACAGCCCAACTTACGATCCCTATAAACGGTGAGCTAATATTTTGTCCTTTATTTGCTGACACTTTCCTTATTTCTGTATCTGTATTTATATAACAAATGTATTTCCTGATTTCTCTTTCAGGCCAGAGATGGAGTCGAGCTCAGAGTCTCGCTCGCGCTCTCGTTCTCCTGGTCCCGAGAAGATCACCTTCATCACCAGCTATGGAGGCAGCGACGATGAAGCAGTAGCAGCTGCAGCAGCGGCCGCAGCAGCCGCCACAGCCGCCGCCTCCGTAGCAGCAGCAGCAGCAGCAACACAAACGAGCGCTCCTCACTCTGGACACGTCTCCTCCAACTTGCAACACCCTGCAGGTCATAGCAGGGGCTCCCGGTCGGTAACTTTCCGTCTTCCTTCCATTAGCTATTGTCCTCGTACAGTTTAATTTTTGTCTGTTGAATTGACCACAGCTGTTGAGGCAGATTTTTGTCAAAGGTGAGGTGGATAAGAGCTTCGGAAGTAAAATATTTATACAGAAAGTTTAAAATTGACCAATTCTGCATGTGAAGGTTGGACTAGTTTGACTGTGCATGTCAGATTATGGCAACGCAAGTAGACTGTATCGTATACGAGATTCTGATATTAAAGTCCAGCATGGGACAGTAAGATTAAGAAGACAGGCTAGGTTCTGGGCTTGTGTTGTCACTAAAACTGTGTGTCTCTGTTTGTCCAGGAGACGAAGGTCCTCCTCCAGCCGCTCCCCTTCCTCCTCCTCCTCCAGCTCCTCATCCCAGTCCACCTCTCGCTCTTCCTCCCGATCGCGGCGTACCCGCCGGGGCCGCGGGGGGAGGGACGGCCGCCGATCCCGGACCCGATCCCGGTCGAGACGGCGTTCCACATCTCACTCCCGGAGCAGAGGAGGCAACGGAGGGGCTGCTTCCTGGAAGAGACGAGACCGGACGCGGTCGAGGTCCGCCGACAGGGACCGAGATAGAGATAGAGATCGAGATAGAGAGCGAGAGAGGGAGCGAGAGAGGGACAGAGACCGAGACAGGCGACGATACTCGGCGCGAAGACGGACGAGGTGAGGCTCCCTGGTGTCTCCCGACAGGACTTTGCTTATTGTTTCGCCACACACACACACACACACACACACACACACACACACACACACACACACACACACACACACACACACACAGCAGTGACGCGTTCCCTCTCCTTCTGTTTCCTGTCAGGTCCCGTTCCAGCTCGCGGCAGGGGGGCAGTTTGAGGCGAGGGGGCCGGAGCAGCGGAGGCCACCGGAGAGGAGACAGCGGCAGCCGCAGTCCGTCTCAGTCCCCTAGCCGCCTCAACCAAAGTCCCTCCCCTCCAAGTGGAGCCCTGCCTTCGACCAACACCGTCCGTGACAAGCTAAGAAAGTAAGAAGGTCACTGCAGTGAACAGACATCCACGATGAGGCCGTTGATCTTTGGGAAAATGTGGATGCAATTTAGGAAAATCTGTGTTTTCCCTTCCACTGTCAGCGTTTACATCAGAGTCGAAGTAGAGCGAACGGAAAACGACTTTGTCGCTATGATTACGTATAATTTACAGGCACACAGCTTTTCTCCTTTGCTATCTCCGTGGAGGCTGAGATTACCCCCCCCCCATCCCCCTCCCACACACATATACACACACGTACGCTGAAAAGGCCCTCTGAGACGGCTGCTGTAGTTCACACTACACAATTTGAGCCCAGTTTTTATTCTAGCCGATAACTTTTGGAGCTTTTCGACAAACGCCCTGGATCAGAGGCACGCTGCCGTTGGTTCGGAGCTCGCTGTTCAAAGGCTCGCTGACGCGTCACCTCGCAGCCTGAAGAGCTTCAACCCAGGAGTGCCGAGCGCCTGTCGATGGGGAACGTGGGGGAAGGGTTGCCTGTTAGTCATCCAAAAAACAGCAATACAACCGTTTAAAGCACTTTAAATCTCCTTATTTTATAACGGTACTTTGTCTAATAATACAAAATGATGTGTTAAATCTAATTCTATTCTAATTGCTATTCAGGAAATAGAGCATTTATTTTCTCATAAATTTCATTCATCCATTGGCAATTTTTTTTCTTTTTTTTTTCTAATTACCAAATGTGCTCAAACGCGGAAGATGAAAGAAACCATAATGTCTCCATCAGCCCGGCTAATGGTTCTCTCTCTCTCTCTCTCTCTCTCTCTCTCTCTGTGTCTCCAGGCCTGATACTCCGGGTGGTAAAGAGACGGGAGCTGCCAAAGTCAGTAAGAATTTGATCTAGCTGGGTTTCTTGCTAAAGCCTACGCCTCCCTCATCCCTGACAGGCTGACATGGTTGTCCAGCAGACTGGGATGTAGAAGCCGTTGTTGCCCACAGAAAATAAAATGCCCCCCCCACACACACACACACACACACACACACCCTTCTCCCAACCCGCCTCATCCACAAAGTGGGCATGCACTGCAATCAAAGCCCGTCTTCTATTTTGCTATTTCCTTGACCGTATTCTTCACCTCCTCAAGTGTTTGGCTGAGAAGAATGACACACTGAAAAAACGCCTCCATCTTTGTGTGGAGTGAACATTTCAGCTGTCTGTCTGCATTGTCTTGCTTTGAGTGTGTGTTGTGCGTTCCTGTGTGTGTCTGTCTGTCGTCTCACATACAGGTCGGTGCGTCACACATCGATGGCCCTAAGAGGGAGACGGATTTCTTCTTTTTAGTACTGACCATGTGTCTTGTTACAACTTGTGACTCAGTATTGGCCAAGAGGGTTGATTAAGCTCTGATGGAAAACAAGATGGGCGTGCTGTGGACAGCCGTTTTTGGGCTTGTTTTAACAAGCAGCAGAGCCCGCTCCTACTAAAACTGAAATAGTTGGACATTTTGTAAAACTTGTCTCCTGTTTCTCGTGTCTGTGGCCTAAATCCAGCACCACGGGGGGGCAGAAAATTAGCGTAGATCAGTGCAGACTAGAAACAGCCTGGCTGTGTTCAAGGGGTAACAAAATAATCGCACCATCTCTTTATTAAATATGTTATCTTGTTTGTGTAATCCATACTAACTGAAGAGGAAAAATGAAAAAACTCACGGAGCGGTTGTGTGCCAGACTTTATCTAGAACAAATAACATGTAACTGACCGAGCTTCTGTTCCCAGTCTTACTAAAGCGAACCGGCTACTCGTGGCAGCTCCATGTGCAGACCGCTGCATCGAGCTGTCCACGCGAAAGGAAATGTGGGCATTTCCCAAAGACCCGGACCGTCGCTTTAAGACTAAATTAACCCCTTTAATGAATTGAAACCTTCTTGACCGTTTGCAGTAGTGAACGAGCTGCATATTCTCACTGAGAAGAAACGCGTTGCATATTCTTCAACAGACAATCTTCTTCTCTGCAGCGTTTTGACCTGCAGTTTTTCTTGCCTGGCCAGGTGCAAACGGCCCAGCGATGGGTGTGTCAGTAACAAAACGCCACTGGCTCTTTCTGAACTTTCCGAACTCACCAAACCTGTACTTGTTTCCCTTTTGGACATTCTCTTCCTTCTGCTGTCCTCCCCTTTTAGCTCGCTGACGGTAGTTCATACTTTAAATGTATGTGAATAGATCCTGTCTAGCTTCTGAATCATCCCACTGAGCTACAGCGACGGTTTATCACACACTCACACACACAGTCGGCCTGTAGCTGTACTTGTTAACTACTACTACAAATGTAACTATATACTAAGATGCGTATCAGAATTGTATGACAATAAGCCTTTGATTATCTTAATTATACACACACACACACACTGGCTCTGAAGTCATGTGCTAACACATTTGTCACTTGCAGCCCAAGATGACCCCTCAGGAGCGGCTCAAGCTAAAAATGCAGAAGGCACTCAACAAGCAGTGTGAGTAAAAAGTGAACAAGCTGCATGCGTCATTGCACAAGTTAACAAACCTGTGAAAATGCGTCAACATTAAAGCTGAATTTTCCTTTTTTTTTTTGCCCCAAATTTGCAGCCAAGGCGGATAAAAGAGCTGCTCAGGTGAAGATCCAGCAGCAGGAAAACAAGCGACAGGTGCGTTTTCTTTCCATGTATGTACGTTATTTTCAGGCGGAAGTCCTCCTGCATCCCCCCTCATTGCTGACTTCTCTTTTTTTTTATCTTCTAGGAGAGGGAGGGAGAGCTGCGAGCCATGGCACGCAAGATACGCATGAAGTAAGTGTGCGTACTGTGTGCGCGGACTGTGTGGTATTTGTGTGTTGCAACGGTCTGACCCAGCGGCTCTGCGTTTAGGGAGCGCGAGAGACGGGAGAAGGAGAGGGATGAATGGGAGAGGCAGTACGGGCGACAGAGCCACTCGCCTTCCCCCTCCCCTTCCAAATATGGTAATGCTTCAGATTTCTGATCTCAAGATGCCATGTGGAACTAATATAATAATGATTTAGTTTAGGGCCGTTTGTTGTCTGACCACGAGCCCAAATATGTTTGGTTTGCTGTATGTGTGCTCTGACGGCCGTTCCCTACTATTGTTTGATGGCGTGTCTGTGTCCTCTGTCCCTGCAGGCCGAGAGCACAGCTCACACAGAAGGTATGTGAGAAGCCACAAGAATCGACGTGGCTCCACTGAAGCCGAAGGAATTACGGGAGTCGTTTCACATTAATGCGCGCACACAACCGCACTTCTTCACTCAACTACAGAATCAGTATTTTCAAGTCTTGTGGCATGAGAGCAAGGAGCATAATAGTCCAGTAAAATGTTAATACCAAAGAAAATATCTCAAACTTTTTATATTAAGGGGACGTATCGTGCCTATTTTCATGTTTATGCTTGTATTTTGGGTCCCTACTAGAACATGTTTGTCTCATGTTGTGTGTGTGGGCACATGGGTCTTTAAGCTCTACAGCAGAATCTCCTAGTCTGCTCTGATTAGCTTGCAAGCAGAATATGGTTCAGCTATGCAACGGCAGATCCAGAAATGTGGGTGGTTTATTCCAATGAGTCCGCATGTGAAAAGAGGAAAGGGGAGTGAATGGCTTGTTGAATCACATCCAGGCAGCCCACAAAAAACAATGTTTAAACGGGTTCTTATTTGTTTGTGGGACCCAAAGTCATTTTCATGATGTATCCCCTTTATGTTTAGACTAAATTATATTATTTGTCCCACAAATCAAACAATCTTTAATGTCATGAGAGGCCATAATTTTTTTTAATTCACATTAAAAACCAAACAAACATACATAAACTTCTAAAGATGTTGGTGTAGAATAATGCTGCTGAAGGGTGGTTTACGTCAGTAATGTGTGCATTTGTATTCAATGAGCAACTGTTGAACTAACTTCTCGTGGTATTTTCTTACTGCTCTCCCCTTCGTACTGATCATTGTGTACATTTCTTTTCAGGAGGTCTCGTTCCCGGTCCCGGTCCCGGTCTCGTTCCCGGTCCCGGTCTCGGAGTCCACACTACCGACACTGATCCCTGGAAAACATTGATGCATCTTATAAAAAAAAAAAATTAAAAAAAACCCACGTCATTACAAAACCTTGTCATTGGCACACATGCTGTTAAACAAGCAGCGTGTAACAATATGAAGTGAATGTGGCACAAGTCTTTACCTGAATAATATGTCCTCTGGTATGTGTTGTTGACGGAGTATTCCTTTCAGACTGCGAGGCCGTTTAGTTTCACCAATTTCACAGCCAATTGGTTCTTCATCTTATAAAGAGACTTGAGGTTTATTAAATGAGTTTGTTTTTTTTCTTCTTCTGCATGTTTTTTTTTCTTTTCCTGCCTGGCCGGCTCTTCTCTATTTCAAAGTACATAATACTAAGCAATATCATTTATTTTTTTTAATTCTTTTTTTTTCACCCCATGTCTGCCTCTTCCAAGGTTCTCAACACTCAAAGACCGTTTTAAACAGTTTTCATGAGCTGATGTACAGGATATTTATACACTGCAATTTAAAACTTCTTTATTAAAGAAATTAAGTTAATGTATGAATTCAATCCATCTCTCCCTGTTTTTATACTCTGCTCTGCCAGCCAGTTATCAGCAGCAAATATACTTTTCTTTTCAATAATGTCGAATGTCCAAATACAGATAAAAAATAAAGCAGAATTTGAAATGATTTGCTCAGTTTCCATTTTTTTCCCCCCATCTGTCTCGTACAGGTTGTACCTAAATATTTAAACCTGATGTTTTGTTACATTTGGTCTGTGTGCCTTTTAATAAATGTACAAAATGTAACACCAGAATTTTCCCGCTGAAGTTACTCCACTTCCTGTTAAATGTGCATCAGTAGATGGCGACAGTTCTCAGCGGGAGGTTCCTCGCTGCAGCTTCTATCGGGTCTCAAATCTGTCGCTTCTGGGGCTTTTCTCGCCGTTTAAAAAAAAACAACTATTTGCCGTATTTCTGTGTCTTTTTAAAGAAGTCACAGCTGGTCAACAGGAGAACGCAGCGGCCCTCTGACGCGCTCTCCGGACACCTGTATGAAACCATCCAGGTACTTGTGCGCTGAGGAGAAACACGTGGACTTCTACCTGATGACAGAGTTGTTACGAACAGACAGTAAACGCCTCTTGAGGTGGAGGAGGGAAGAAAAAAACAACTGCAAACCGGGAAAAAGCTCTGAAGTGACAGGCGAGCTCGTTTGCGGAGCGTGTTGCCCGAGGTGGGCGGGGTCAGGGTCGTAGGAGCGGGCGGTGCCTGCAGTCGCCCATGCCCCCTTTTGCCCTCCGCGTCGCTACGGGGGGGTTGTGCGGAGGGGGGGGGGGGTGCGTGAACTTGAACGCTGCCTCCACAGCTCGCTGCGCGTCCAGGCAGCGGACAGTCGCTCCCATCACGTTGCGTCCGCCACCCGCGTCTCTCCGCAACTTATCGCAACGAGACGGATTTCTTTTTTTTTATTTGTTTGTTTGTTTTGTTTTTAAAATAAGAGGGTTGTTTTGCTGTCCTCGCCGTCGTTGTTTGGGACCGAGAAGAAGGTGCTCGACGCGATGTCCAGGCGCAAACTTGGAAGCAGACCGCAGCACCTGAGTGCAATCCAAGGTAAGCGGCGGCGGCGCGTGGTCGGCACGATGCGAGAGGCCGGTGTGTTTTGGGGCTTTTCTTTGAAAAATGATATTTAGAATTGAATTTATGTCATCAAATTCGAGTTTTGTTTCTCCGCGCGTGGCTCGCGGGACGCGCGGCCGCCGCGGTTATCAAATTATATTCACGTTATTTTATTTTACACGCAAAATCATCTGGAGATCACACGAACTAGTTATATTTATGTATACACCGACTTTTGTGCCAGTGTAGGTATATTTGAGTACATTTAGAATATATACATTTAAAGGCTACGTGTTTTGCGTGTATTGTCGTGCTCGTAGAGGAAGGACCGGTTTTATTGTCAGGCTGTTTTCAGAGGCTACAGGTCCGAACACGATGATTAATGTCCTCATTTTAGACCATGATCAAGTTTCTGCCTCTGGCTCGTCCGTTTTTAAAGTACTGCCCCCATCTTCTTCTTCTTTTTTAATTATTTGGACAATCAAATAATCTCCTTTTAATAAAAACACGTAATGGATCCCATTCAGACTTCGCATTTGATCCCATTCAGACTATTTAAACATGAAGACAAAAAGTGCAGCTCACAAAGGAACCTGTGATGTGTGGAGGGAAATAAGAGAAACTTGAACACCGTTTGGGGGTTTTTTCTTTGCAGTTCTCTACGAGAGACCAGTGGTGCGTGTCTGGTGTGACCACAGGTCCTGACTCAACTCCGTCTCTGCGTGCGTGTGTGTGTTTGTGCGTGTTTGCACGCGTTAGTGCATGCGTGCGCGTGCGTTGGAGCGTCGAGAGACCGCGCCTTGCAAGTCTGCACAAACAGCGCAGCCCTGAAACCGGAAAGGTGACATTTTTGAGTAACGACTGGCGAGATCTAACTCCAGACTGTACTGTCTGTACCTGTCCTGCGCGGTAGCCGGGGCAGGTGATCCGGTGGAGGCATCAAGGTGTGCCCGTGACCGCGTTGTGCAATACTGACCCCTCCTCCTCCTCCTCCAGCCTGGCCTGAGCTGGAAGCCTTTTCTTAACAGATATCCAAAGTTTACTCAGCCTCTGGGTTTGCTTGACGTTGTGTCCACTGCCTGCACCTGTCTGCAGTGTTTTCCCTGCTAACCACATACAGTTTGACCGGTTGTGGAATGAGAAGAGCCGTCCTGAGCATATTTGTGAGCACCCACGAGGGCTGTTCTTATCTCAAACACCTTCAGTTTTATTGCAATCAACTTCCTGTTGAGAAACTCCGGGTTGCTCGTATTGATGATCGGTAGCGTACACAAGTGAACACTTTGCTTCTAATTTCTTTTTTTTGACTTGATTTTTTTTTTATTATCAGAAACTTCACTTGTTATTGAATTGGGATGTGCCAGTAATCCGAGGCTCAGAAGGACAGTTAAGCTCCTCGCGCAGCGGCCTCATTCACAGCGGATCTGTCTTCGGTTGGTTAAAGGAAGTGGTCAGTATTGGCGGAGCAGATTGGCCTCGTTGTTTTTAGAGCTCACAACTGAAACGTGCACTTTCGATCACCACGCCTGCTGAGTTGTTCCATTGAGGTCTAACAGCACTTTTGCCACTTTGGTTCGTTCACTCGTAAGAACTTGGTCAAAAACAGAAAGGAAGAAATCTAAACTAACTGAGACTCTTGTAGGTTGGATGTGTGGGTCAGAACATGTTGGCGTTGGCTCTATGTTCAGCCTTTTTTTGGGATACAAATTGGGATGTTAATGTTAAAGTTTGATTTTCTTCTGTATACCAATAAAGAAAGTGATGTGTGTAAAAGTGATAACTCTCTCTGGCTGATCGTTACAATCCTCGACAGAAACCACTCTGCTGTGGACACGTTTCATAGACGCTGCCCAAAAATACTGGATGAAATGGGATTTTCTTTTCTTGACTTAGTTTTGTTTGTTTGTTTGACCAACAGGGCAACTCACTTTACTGTCCCACGAGACCAAGAGAATCAAATATTATTCAGATTTGTAACCTGGAACCTTTTGAGTCTTTGCTTGAAAAGAAAGAGACTTAATTAATTAATTGATTTATATCCCTTTGTTAAATTCTCCTTTATTTCTATTTTCAATGACGTGACGTGCTCGTGTGTCCCTCTTTTGTTAATCACTTCCTGTTAAACGTAAACCGTAAACACAGCGTAACCAGTGGTTTAATTTGTCTCCCCTCTGCTGCCTGTCCCCTTTCTGTCAGATGACACCGGCCCGGCGAATGTCGCCACTTGCCCCGACGACCGGCCTCCGCCTGCTCCACAGGTCCACGCTCCCGGTGAGGGTCGTGACCTCTTGACCTGCGGCCAGTGCAGCCGGGCCTTCCCCCTCGCCCACATCCTGGCGTTCATCCAGCACAAGCAGGGCGCCTGCCGTTCCCAGGACCAAGCCTCAAACGCCAATGCCACGCCCCCCTCGCCGGCCAACCGGGCCCAGCAGCACACCGACAATGGCGAGCTTGGACCGGCCTTCATCGAGCTGAGGAGAGGAGGAGGAGCCTGGGGGGAGGAGCCCGGCGCGAAGGCGGAGCACGGCGGAGCAGGTGAGCGCTTGAAGAATAAAAATAAATGCAAGCCAGGTTGCTAATTAGTGACTCTGTTTTTTGTTTTGTTTAATTTTTTTTTTCTTTCTTCTTTTCAACCGCCTTCCTCTTCATTTAACAACTGTTTCCCTCAGCCCCCCCCTACACTCCCCCCAACTCCCCTCCCTCCCCGAGTCCAGCTCATTAGCTAGCCGTTGCCATTAGCAGACGTGCGTGAGTTAGTGACGCACAGGCTAATTGTGTGGAAAGGATAGGCGTCGGGAGCGTTCGGAGGGCACCGAGGGTCCCCGAGGGCTCGACAGTGAGCACCTGAGCTCCTTTTCATCTCCCTGACTGTCAGTCTCTGAGGTGGAATGGCCAGGTAAACATGTTTCTGCATCTCTGTCCTCCACTGCGTCCTGGACAACAGAGTCCTCCTCCCCATCCTCCCGTCCTCCTGTCCTCCTAGCGCCGGCGCAGGAGCCTGTTCGCTTTCCCCGTTTTTTTTTTGTGTAAAGGCCAGCCTGCTTCTCGTGGAAAGGGGTTTGTTGGTTGCAGTCGGGCATCTCCGTAGGAAATGGTCAGAGGAGTAAATGTGAGGCGGTTCCCAGTAGCTCTCCTTGCTGTCATGACACCGTAATGGAGGACGTTGCATCATGTGCAGCTTCTCTTCCATCTCCCTCTGTTCTGCCCCGGGGCCGAGCCACCTGAGCTCCCGGGAATTTCCTCGTCCTTTTACTTCATCTTGTGCATCGCTTTCTCTTTTTTCCTTCCTCTTGTTGTCACATTTTTTGGCGTCTTCAGCCGTCCCTCTTCTCCTTTCTGTTGTTAAGGGAAGAAGAGCGCAGACACCCTGATGGTCAGTCAATCAGCAGTTCTTGAATTGTCAGTATATAGTCATTTTTGGTAAAAGATTCCAGAGCAGTGACAATCATGGTGTTTTGGGATGGAAGGGAGTTATTGCGTTCGGTCAGATGCGTTTGAAGGTCGTGCTGTATTTGAGGTGAAGAAGGGCGAGTGTGCAGCAGGATGTTGTAAGTTATTGCAGACTGACGGAGCGCCTTGTTGCACACTCAAAGTAGGTATCGATGCCGCTGTGCACATTTTGAAACCTTCTCTGTCGTGTGCACACACGTTAGCAGTTCCTTCCTTTGTGTAACGCTCAGGGGGACTGGTGCACGCACCATTTCCGTCTGTCCACAATCTCTTCGGTTTTCTATTTCAGTCTGTTTTTCATCTCGCTCTGTCTCTCGCTTACAGTTTGAGAATGCACACGTTTGGTCATTTGGTGCCAGCAGGATTATACAACACACGAGGAGGGGAAAGAGCATGGCGACTTAAATAATGAAAAAGTGGATAAGTTTGGATTAAAGTTTTATACGCAGATGTAGCTGGTATGGAGTTGGTAATTGCCCAGCTTTTAGTGTTTTGTCTCCCACGATAATCGGTTTTGTGACATGGAGTTTGAGTTACAAAGGGACAGGTTCATTTGGACGTCCTGCAGCCTCGTAAGAAATAGGATGTCTTTTTCTCATGGGAGGGATCTGAGCATCTGAAGCTTCTGAGATGACAAAGTGAACCGACAGTTATCCCCCAACAGGAAGGTCCTCCATCTATTTTCTGCATTCAAGAGAGACGCGGCGAGGGCCGAGACGAAAAGAGAGTGGGACGGATTACCGTCTCTCTCAGAGCCGCGTGCATCTGTCTCATTCCTTTTTATTTATTCTCCTTGTTTGTTTTTTTCCCCCCTCATCTCCAACATCCCCCCCCTCCTCATTCCCCCCACATCTTCAACACACTTTCGCTTTGCCCTCTTTCAATTTCTCACCCCCCCCCCCCTCCACAACCCCCCTTTCTCCGGCTCTCTCTTTTCCTCCCTCTGCCTCCCGAGGGAAAAGAGATTCTGCCTGCTGGCCGTTAGTGCTCCCAGACACTCCGCTTTTTTAATGAGAGATTATGCTTTCGGCTAAAAATCCAAGTCCCCCCCCGGCCAAAGTGGGAATCTTTCCAAAAAATAAAAGGGGGGGGAGGGGGAGGGAAAGGAACCCCGCGTGGGTTTTTTTTCTCCTCCGGGACCCCAAGCAAAAGCCCCCCCCCCCCTCCCCCCGCACCCACCGCTCCCCCTTCCCCTCCAGGGGAAGATTTGGAGGGTTTTGGGGGGTAGAGGGGTGAGGAGACCCGGGTTTGGAGAATGGTTCTCAAGTACAACCCAAGAGGGGTGACATATTTTCGTGGTGTCTCTTGGGCCCCCGCATACGACATTATAATCTTTTTATCTCATTTTCTTTTTATCTCCTGAGCCCTGACCTACCTACCTCCCCCCCCCCCCCCTTTCTCTCTCTCTCTCTGCACTCACTCTTCACCCTATTTTTAAAAGAAGTATCTCAACTTCGCCCGGGTTTCTCCTCAGGCTAGGTTAAAGGACATGAACACCACAGCTCCTCTCGTCTCCAGACAGAGGGAGGGCGGGAGATGGGGGGGGGAGAAACAGTTCTCTTTTTCATCTTCACTCTCCTCCCCCCTCCAGTAAAATACAGAAGGATTTGACTTGAGGAAACATGAAAGAGGCTTATACCAGAGTCTGCTTTGAACCTCTCCAACAAGAAAAAAAGGAACTGTTTTCCCCTTCAATTTGGGGATCTTCTCTCCAATTTTGATTTATGCAGAAAGGCCTCATTTGTCAAGCAGGCTGAGTCAGTGCCTGATTTGCATAAAGCGTTCATTTTCTACGTTCTGCTAATTAGCAATTTGCAGCTTAATTGGAGAGTGGCTCTCGGTTAGGAGACAAAGCTATCCGCATATAAAAATATCTCCAGATGTACTTTGCAACACGACTCCATCTTCTTTCGTCGTTCTGCATCTGAAGCCCCATTTCTCCAACCTGAGTCCCACTTTTTCCTTATTTTGACATTACTTCTTCATGACCTGACCTTACCCTCCTCTTCATCTCCAAATCATTTCCATCCATCTGTACTTTTCTTCTGGTATGTGTGTGGCTGATACTTATGTTCTTTTAAGTCCTTGTTTAGATTTATTCTTTTACACAGATTTTTTTTAATGTTTAATCCCTAGATTGGTTCCCATGTAGTAAAAGTCAAAACCCTTCAAAATAAAAGACTGACTAAAAACACTAACGTTGGTCTTTTTTGTTTTCCAGGAACCGAGGAACCTTCTTACTTCACCTGCCAGCAGTGTGAAGGCTTGTTTCCTTCTGCATGGGCGCTCTTACAGCACGCTCAGCACATCCACTCCTTCAGCATCTACCAGGAGGAGGGGGAAGAAGACACGGACATGAGAGGAGGAAGGAGAAGAAAAAGAAGAGAGGGAGGACTCAAAGCGCACAAGCCCGCTACGGCCACACTCGACCCGTGTCACCTGAGCCAAGCCCTCGCTTCTGCCTTCCAGCCCTCCACGCTGCGCCTCGGACGCTCCCGTCAGACGCACACCTCCTCCTCCGCCTCCGGCAACATGCAGGCCCTGAACTTTTCCGTGCGGCTCAGGGAGCTCGCTGAGGGGAATAACGACAACGCCGGCAGCTCCCCCGGAGGTCTGATGCTTTCTCCGTCCTTTTCTCCACCGGCGGCGTCTCCCTTCCCTCAAACCCTCAAGTCTGACTTTTCCTGCGAGCTTTGTGACCATAACTTCCTGTCCCAGCATGCCCTGTCCACCCACCGCCGGACTCACTCCTGCAACCGGCCCTATCACTGCGGAGTGTGCGGGCAGGCCTTCGCCCAGAGTGGCCAGCTGGCCCGGCACATAAGGAGCCATCACAGGGACGCCGCAGGCGGAGGCGTCGGCTACGAGTCGGTGGATATGGTCGTCATGGAGGAGGATGCAGGGAGGCACGGGATGAGAGGCAGGTTTCAAATGCAGGGCGCCGGTATCGCCATGGGAAAGGCAGCGGGCGGCGCAGAGACGAGGCCCCAGGGTCCCGCCGAGCTCGACCTGGCCGCGCCCAAACAACCGTCCATAGCGTCAGGCCTGATGCTGCTCACCTCGCAGGTGCGACCCGCGGACAGGGAGCTGCTGAGGCTGTACCAGTGCCAGAGAGGTGGGGAAGAGGATGCGGAGGTGCGAGGGGAGCCTCGGCACACCTCCCCCTGCGCCAGCCCCTCCGAAGGCTCGCTGGAGAGCGGAGAGACCGGGGGCAGCGGGGAGAGCGGCATCGCCAGCGGCAACTGCACGCCCAAGCGGCCCGAGATGGGCGAGCGAGCGCGGGGCGTTGCAGAGTGGGAGAACGAAAGAGGGGAGATCACGGAGAGGGAGACGGAGTGGAGCTCGGCCAAAGTCAGCGAGGTCGTGCAGGAGTGGCAGAGAGAGAACGAGCGGCGGAGCGTTGGAGGAGTCGTCAGCGGCGGAGGGGGAAACAACAACAACCCCGCCGTCGGTACTACCGCCGGCTCGGCCGGTAAGAAGAAAAAAGACGAGGCCTGCGAGTACTGCGGCAAGCAGTTCAGAAACAGCAGCAACCTGACCGTGCACCGCCGCAGCCACACGGGTGAGCGGCCGTACCGCTGCGGCCTCTGCAACTACGCCTGCGCTCAGAGCTCAAAGCTGACGCGCCACATGAAGACCCACGGCGCGCGGGGAGCCAAGGCGTCCTTTTTGTGCCAGCTGTGCTCGGTGCCCTTCACGGTTTACGCCACTCTGGAAAAGCACCTGAAGAAAGTCCACGGGCTGAGCCACGCCAGCGTGGGGGCGTACGCACAGGCCAGCGCCGCCGACACTTTGGCTGCCATCAAAGCTGAAGAAGAAGTGGTGGTGGTGAAAATGGAGGAAGAGGAGGAGGAGGAGGAGAATGAAGCCAGTTTGGATCAGGTGGAAATTGAGAGGAAAATTCAGCGGGGTCTCGCGAGAGGCCTGGAGGTGGAGGAGGGGCAAGTAGAGTACGCGGAGAACGGCGCCGCCATGGTGGCCGATCTCCCACTTGAGAGCAAGGCGGAGGCGAAAGCTTTGACTTCTGCGCCGTGAGAGCCGATCTCGTTCGCTTACTGACATTAAATATGTTTTGTATGTATAGGATTGAGGTGGCCCATACAAGTAAAAAGAAGAGGTACCATTATTGAACAGACCGTCAAGTAAAACTGGAATCTAGTTTAAAGAAATGCAGCAGCAGCAGCAGCTTCGTCTCTGCCGGCGCCGAGGAACACAGACACCACGTTGTTCACCAATGTGTGCGAAGCTGCTGGTGGAGACTTAAGTGCCTACAGTTCTTTAGACCACAGAGAGAAAAAACGAGGCCATGACATTCAGCAGGGAGATTACCAGAGCTCGTGAACAGGAAGTGAACCGCCACAGTCCACGCAGACACAGGAAACCAATCACCATGTTGCAGTGCAGGATGCAAAGTACAAGTGATTTATATCTCTGGCGAGCGACTGGACAGGTGTCAATTCTCAGACAATATAGTAAAGGGATTCTATTAGCCATAGAACGATGTTAATGTATATTCAGCATCAGTAGACGGAGAAAGGTCATGTTGTGTTTTCTTGCTGTTGCTGGTTTTCCTTTGAGAATACCTTTTAAAGACTAGAAATGTTTGAAGAGCCACGAGGGTGAAAATAATCCAAACACTGTCCGCCTGCAGTTTGTCAGGCTCCTCTTTTTAAAGGCGCTTAGATGTCACAACACTTGTCACTTATGTAATGTTTACAGGGCTCCAGGAGCCTGGCAAGGTTGTGCTCCCGACTCTTTGACGGTCTGTAAAAATGATTTTCTGTTTTCATAATTTTATAAATCTGAATAAGGAGAATCTAAAATCTAGCTACTGGTGTATTTTTGTTGTTGTTTTTTTGTTCTTTGTTTCTATGCATACCCCATTCGACCTTTTCCTCTTGCAATTTTACCTTCATGTGAAACGGGTGTGTATGATTTTCTCTATTTGTACATATTGTGATGGTAATTTCTCTTTCGTTGTTTACATTTGTACAGTGCCGGACGGCTTGAAGCTCGTGCATGTTTTGCAGCCATTTGAAACTGTTTTTTTAGTTGCCTGTGTTTTGAATGATTCCTAATTTATGGATGCTGCATGTTGGGAATCGTGTAACTGCTGAACCATTGGGTGAAACCTGCGAATTTAACAACTCTACAGGTCAAAGTTGTCAAGTATAGTGCTGCCAAGATTTTTGTGACTACTGTGAGGACTTTGTGTGATCTACTAGGGAAACTGTGTGATGAGTGATTGTGAACGAGTGCAGTGTAACTGTTCAGGGATAAGGTGTTGTACATAAGTTGACATACTTGCTGTTGCTATGCTTATTATTGTTATTATTAATACGAGCAGCCTCCACTTTCCCGAGCAACGTCTCCTGTCTGCTGAGCCGCGGCTTTTGTTAAGCTCTGCTGTCTTTGTAAACTTGACACCATTTTGTAATTCATCTTCTCAAGAGGAGCCTCAATAAAGATTTGAGGTGAAATATTTTGTATTGTCTTTTCTGCTTGGGGTTGCTTTTCTCAACCCTCCCCCACCACCTCCCCCCCCCCCTCCCTCTGTACCCAGAACACAGCGTTTGAAACTATTTCGGAGTATCTTTTCTCACCAGGATGTTGTCTTAGGCAGAGTGGGTCATTTCTCTGAGGACCACAGTCAGCGCTGAGTTATTAATTTTTAATGTGAGTGTTTGGATTAGGGACCCTCACTCCTTGTTTACATCCTTGTGATGTTACTGGCTTTGTCTAGAGACAATGTAAATTTTATTTTGTGTCTGTGTGAGTGTATTTTTGCGTTGGTGTCAGTCCTCATGCAGTTTGTAAGCTGGGTGCAGCGCGCTGCGACGGGACGCGGGTCTCTCTTTGAGGAGGGCCAGTTTGGTTATTGAGCTGGGTCGGTGTCAAGGGGTTGAGATAATTGCTGACTCCATTTTAAGGGCATGAAAACCTCAGCACCAGCATCTCCGGGCCTTAACCCCCCCCCTTAATGAAAATGAAGTTGTATGATCCCTCTAGCTCATTAACAGCAGGTCTTTTAATGAGGTTTCAACAGGGTGGGGGGCTGGGTGGATGAAGAGGAGTGGGGTTGGATGGGGTAGGGGGTTATTGCACCAGATGCACACACGCCCACTCCTACCAATTACCATTGTGCAACAGAGAAAAACAAGGAAGTGGAGAACGGAGCCCCTCAGACACGGATGAGTCGGTTTGTCTGTCGTCCTCCGCAGAGACGGAAAAAACGAGGAGGGGGGACGGTACAGGTGACAACCTCTCTCCCTCTGGTGAACCCTGCCCTCCCTTTCGGTTGGGCGCCAAAGCAAGCGCCATTTGGTGCTCGAATGGACCCAATTATGTAAGGTAAGGTGAGACGCGGGGAAACGGCACTGTAGCCCCTAGAGCAAGTGGATATCTGTCCCACGTCCCAGAGTGCCCTTTGTCTTCCTGCAGTCCACACCTCTGAGGCGGCGTCGGGCCCTGCGCGGGACAATGTCGGCCGCCTATCGCAACGTGAAGAGGTCCTAATGTCTGCCAATAGGAGGGCCCGTGTGTGTTTTCCAGACCAATGGCGGCCCTGCGGGCAGCAGTAACTTGGACTTTGAGATTTAATGGTTGTGTCTCGACTCCACAGAGAGAACTTTTGTTGGTCTTGAAGTTGGGAGAAGCCACTTCAGGAGAGAGACGCAGCAGAGATGGTTACAGCAAATTTAAATAAGCTAAACACACTTAAACAACTCTTAGTGACACAAAATTAGATATTTCTTTGTAAAGCGCATTTGGGATTTTGGTTTTTGTAACATACTTAATTTGGTGCTTTAGAATCTAAATACTATAAAATTTAGTTAAAAGTGAGAAATAGCCTTTTTATTTAAATAATCCGTCAATTTACTGACATCACACACAACAATCCAGATTTTTGGATTAGGACTCCACCAAAAGTATCTTGGCCATAGTCTCATTCATAACATGGTGTTAAAGAAAACATGCTGGCGGCCTTCTGCATCATCTTTAGACACTTAAATGGAATGACTGAGGCATCTCACTGCTCGACCTTATGGTGCTTAGAGACACAAAGCCCAATTTTGTGTCAGTATAGTGGCAAAATCACAAATTCAGATTAAATGTAAGGTGATTAACTCTGGAAATGCTCACAACAAAGGGAATGTCAGAGCTCTGTGTTTGCTTTCCTACAGGGCAGGCCTGTGGCCATAAGAGGCTCTCACTTATGTATGAGAAGATTGTGCTTTATCATGGAAAAAGCCAATTAACTGGGATTTTTTAATTACATTTGTCACGGCGTACTGTGTGCAGCCTCCAATTGTCTATGCCGTCCCTGTCCTGTTGTCCTCGCTATACCCAGAATAGTTGAGGAGAAGAAGACCGTGGCGGAGGATTAAATCATCTCCAGGGCCGGCTGAGACGGGGATAACAAGAGAGAGAAAGATGCATTTGGGAGTGATCCGAAGAAACCGCAGGACTCCCCCTCCGCTCTTTATCCTCGCACAGTTCCCACAATCCCCACCTTTTCTCACCCATCCCTCATCCCGCAATGACCGCAGAGTGAAATCTGAACCCTGGAATTATACCTACTTCACCTTTTTCTCCCGCACCCTCCCCTCAGCACCCTAACCTTCAACAGTTAAGAGTGAGGGAGGACGCGTTGAGGGGCAACGCGAGCCCAGTGCACCTCTGTGCAGTTCAACGCCTTCGTACAACGAGAGGAGGGAAAGACAAGGAGGCCTCAATCTTATAAGAGGGGAAATAATGTCACTGAGCACCAGAGTCTCAGTCCAGCTGAGTTTGAGTACGAGGAAGCATTGATGAGCGTGCAGTGAGGTGGTTTAAAAACAAAAGAGAGGAACTTCAATGATTTCTCTTTTGTTCACAGCGGGAGGCAGTGTTACATCAAACAGGCAGATAATGATGGTGAAAATACATTTAAAAACAAACCTAAATACAGCATTTCCCAGAGTGAAACCCACGGGCTCCTTTTTACCTCAGAAGTTATTGTTGCAAAGATTGCAAAGACCGAGTGTGGTAAACATGTAAAGGAAAATAGGCACTCGTCCCCATTGAATACAATACCTCTTTATATAAACCAAACTAGCTCTGTGAGAGCGATCCCACTGTCTGAAATCAGCTTTGTTTACAACCCTAGTCCCAACTAAACAAAGTGTCTTCCAGTAGATTTTAAATAAGAGCATAACTTTCTTGTAAATTTACAATACAACGGAATATGATATCATGTTTCATGTTGCATTATATACAATAAGATACAGTACAATACATTTAAATTGTACACAAAACAATGAGATATGATACAATTATTCTTTGTGGGGCTTAACTAAATTTTCTTATGAATGAAAATTGGTTTTGCTTCCATTTTTGTTTCTGCATGACAGACAGAGCTGTTTCACAACCACTTTTTGAGTTAAGCGTCTTCCTAAGATCAGATAGTAGTTAGTTGTCTGTCTGACCAGTTTGTGGGATAACAAAAGACCCCGCGTAGCATAATCGCACAGCACTGTTGTCTTGGTGTCTGAACGGGGCCTCTGACATGGATTATTGACCTGAATACTGCAAATAGGTGATTTTTACACCACATCCTGTTTACAGACAAGTTATACCTGCAGTGTATTGCTCATATATATATATATATATATATATATATATATATATATATATATACATAGAGAGGGTTGAGGGAGGGGAGTGAGCTTCACGGTTAAACAGAAGTGCAGCAGATCACAACCTTAAGAAAATGGCGAGATGAGGGGGACAAACATCTGCCGGCTCTAACACTTTCAGACAAACTGTTCCTCAAACGGCTGCCGCTCTCTTTGTCTTTCATAAACACACACGCACGCACGCACACACACACACACACACACACACGCACGCATGCACGCACACACACACACACGCACGCACGCACACACACACACCCACACACATCTCTTGCTGCACCTGGTGACCCTCCTTGTCAACCTCACAGTTAGTCAGTTCCTCTGGTAATTGCACATGCACAGGCAAGCAAATGTATTCAGGTCAGGCAGTTTGGTTTGTTGTCCAGCCAAGAAATGTCCAAAAATACAGGAAAAACTTGGTTGACAACCTTCCGTCCCCTCCTCCCTCCCTTTACACGCTCACATCTCCTGGGTCAGAGGTGTTACCTGCTAGCGCGCATAGTGAGGTCATGAGGTAGAGTTCAGTCACATGACAGGGGAAAATGCTTTCATGTGTCTGTCCCCTGCGTGCCGGAGGCCAGGTGAACTGAAGCCTCTAAGCGCGTCTGCACAAATATCCGCCGTCACACAGCTTATTAAGGTCTTTACCTTCAGACGTTGCATTTATACAAATGATCCTGGAAGTTACCCTGATGCAGGCAAAGTGACAGGTACTCATTATGCTGGAGAATGAATCCATTGGCGTTGTATTCATATATCTTCCATTAAAGTCAAGTTGAGTAGATAAAGTACCATAAAATGGGAATAAATGCTGTGAAAATACAATCATGTTCTTACGCATGGAAGCAGAAACAAAGGATGTATACTGGTTACTTACTGCCCTGCCCTAAAAACCAGCAGCAACCAATAAAGCTTCCATTTGACATTAAACATAAATTACATTTAAAAAATCCATAGAAACATTGCCTTAACAACACTATGGGAAAAAAACAGAGAAAAAGATGCAAGCAGTTTATTTCTAATGAAGATAAGGTGACAGACATCACACAATGAGTAGGAAGATATGGAAGATCTATTAGTGACATATTCCGTTGGCCTCTCCTCGGCGTTGCTGGTTATCTTCTGGTCCAGTCAATGCCGGCACGACTTGAGTGATTGGGCAGAAAACGAGCCGGGACAAAGCCGGTTAACCGGCGGGGAGAGTGAGAGGGGCCCGGGGGCCGCTGCTGCCGGGGTCGTGGGATCAGAGCAGGTCATGGAGGTGTGGGAGTGTCTGCTCAGCCCTCTGACCTTTGTCGCCGAGGCTTCCTAATCCCGTCCTCAAAGAGCAAACGGACATAATGGAGAGCCAATGAATGGAGTTAAATGGTGACCATTAGACGGATCTGTGTCGCTATTCTTCTTGTTTGTTTAGTCCCGGTCAGTCTCACGTTTTCAGTGTAATCAGGCGTATGATGGAGGGACGCCTGGAGATGCCTGGAGAGGCCCGCAAACCGTTTATTGGAAATGGATAATATAATGAGTGACAGACAGAAGGGAGGGAGAGAGAGAGAGAAAGGAGGGGGACGGTAATTGGAGGTCCTCTTCAGATCATTTCAGTCCCAATGAGAGTTCGTACGCGGTCTAGGATGCAGCCAAGCACCCCTTCCGAAAACGGTTTCTTCATTCACAGCAAAACAATCCTTCTGAATAGCCTATTAAACCCAGTATATGTTGTATGACTGGCAACAACTTTTAAAAATCCATCAATTAGATGAGATGGGTTTCAAGGTAATTGCAAGTGTTGTAAATAGCACAAAAAGAAGAAAACCGCAAAACAAAGAAAGAGTTGTGTTGGAAAATGTTCAAACAATGGTTCTCGATTGGCATGTTTTTGTGGTTTGTTTACTTTATTCAGGGTACAACATCATAGTTAAGCATGAATAATAGATCAAATGTAAACCATTAATTAGAACAATGTTCCGGTTGCCAGGTTGTAAAACGGATCCGGCTTTTGAGTCGTTAGAATCTCACTATATAATAAGCCATGGAACTATAAAGTAATACATGTAAATATGTTCATCATTTTGGTAACTTATCAGTACAATCTAAGGCTTGTTGAAGCACTCCGAGGAACCAAAAAGCTAATAAACAATACTAATGGTTCTGTTAAAGGAAAACATATATTCATGACCTGGCAACCAAGGACTTGCTCTATGGTGGATGAGTGATTAAAATCAAATAAACATTATTATTCCACTGTCCACTGCAGTAGCTACTATGAACACACTAATGTGAAATCACCTTTACTTTAGTAAATAAACATTGTAAATATTGTTTAAGCCTCTTTATAGCACGAAGCCTCGTCCTTTAACGCCTTATGTTGGAAAGATGTTCAATCCTAGCATTTTATATAGGAAAATATTAAATAAATACAAATCCAACAACATCCATAAAAGTGGACGGGTGTATCAACATTTTATCAGCTCCTCTTTCTTCTAATATACAATTATAATCCAAATGATGAGCATAGACAAGTTTGTAAAACCTCCAATGAAAGCAGATTATAAGGTATCGTCTATAGATGACACAAATATATCTGACGTGCTTCATTTCTTATAATGAAATGTGTTATTTGCTGTGTGCTTATTCCCTACATCAGTATCGGTGTGGTTCTATCAGTTAGTTATTGCCTTTCTCCCCACCTGCTTGTTTACAATATAACAATCATCACCACCACTACCACAATTTACACTACAGGCCTCTATCGACGGTCGATGTGTGGAGCAGACCGACACCTAGCGGCACCACGACGCCTCTCTCCTCCGGTCCACTCTGGATTCTACAGAAAACCACACTAAGTCCTAAGTACTCTAAAGTCCCGCTTCTTGAGGGCCCAATAACAGCTTTTTGAAGAAGCTCGTTGCCTCCGACTGGATGATAAATCAGAGAGGATGAAAGAGGCTGTTGGCACCGTGTCATTACTCCCGACTGCAGCTCTCCGCGGCCCGCGGCGCTCGGCACACCTCTCTCCGGTGTGGGCAGAGCCGGGGAGGTGCTCCGGGTGTCCCCCACGGTCCGCGTGCTGGGTGTGCGCTTCGATCTGTATTTAAGAGACGGCTGCTCGGACCAAGTTGACTGCGGATCCATTGGCAGCATGGCGACCGACAAGGATTCAACCCCGGGCTCCATCGCGAACCCGATCAAGTTCATGGATCAGGACTTTCAGACTCTACTGGAGAAATGTCTGAAGTCTCGAACATTGTTTGCTGATCCCTGCTTCCCCCCCCAACAGACGTCCATCGGTATGCCGGAAGATCCGGATCCAAAAAAGGCGATCAAGTGGCGGCGACCCAAGGTACCCGTGCGCGTATCGTGCCAGATGCTGGCCAGATGTTGCATGAAGTTTCGTATTCTTTATTTAAACGATTTAACATTTTAAGGTCGAAACTAATTATTAATAGTGTCATGTCACAACTTCCTGCATGTCCAAAACAAAAAACGACTGTATATATTTGGAAAATACGCTGTTGATTTGTTAAAGCTAATTCTGCTTCAACTAACTATACTTGACGTGTTTTAGTTATCTCCAAGCCAGAAGTGTTGATATATTCAATAGTCACATATTACATCTAGAAATATTGAAGATATTGTGTATAAGTGTATAAACTGTATGAATTTTAGGATTTAAACTTTCTTTTTTTTAATATTTTATTTGTATCCCTGTAAATGACCTGGTCAATAATATAAGATTTGAAATCATCACATTTGTTCATTTGTTTATTTTAGTATAAAAAATGAAACTATGAAATGTGCCCACTGTGCACATTGTGCTCACATTCACACTCCGTCTGAAGGAAATTGGTGTGAACGCTGTGTTTGTGGAGGACACAATTGGGACAACTGACATCTGTCAGGGCCAACTGGGTGAGTACCAGGAAAACTTCTTCCTCCCCTTTCCTCACCTCATCTCTCACCGGAATGTGAAAAGTGGGTGTGTTTCACGCTGAATTGTCTTAAACTGGCATTGCGCAACATCCTCGAAAAGTAATACTTACAAAACTAAAAGCTGCAAAAGCCCTTCTTGCTGTTCAGTTTATTTCTATTTATCTTGATGAAATGCAGTGACTTCATAGCACAATGGTCCCCGGGGGACAAAACTCCAAACACACAGTGAGGGGGAGAGAGAGGAGTGTTCCCTAAACCCCCGAATCTGCAGGGGTCCAGACGTCATCATGACAGCCCACCGACTCTGCTTCAAATCTGTGTGGTTTAGTGTGTTTCTCGTTTGTGGTGAACTAGAACAAAATTTTCTTCACAACGACAGGCGTTCCTTCCTCCTTTGGTATTTCTAAATGAATGTGTCATGTCACCATAGCAAAATATGTTGGTTAATCTTTTGTTACCAGTCTTCTTTTTCTTCTTCTTGCTCCATGCTGGAGTTTGAGATTCTCCATTAAACTCTATCTAAGGTGTTTTACAGGAGTTTTAAAGATGTTTTGCTGCAACATTTCCAGCTGGTTGCCATTGCAGAGGAATGTGTTTCAGTACACGTATGTGCAAGAGAGAGAGAGACAGAGAGAGCTTCCCGTGTCCTAAAAGCAATCATTACGAAACACTCTGAATATTTTTTAAATGTGTCCGTGCAAGCTTTGTGTGTTTTTTTTGTTGTTTATCAGGTAACTGTTGGTTGCTAGCAGCCCTGTCCTGTCTCACCATGCACCCCACCCTCTTTGAGAAGGTGGTGCCCCCCAACCAAAGCCTGTCGGAGAGCTATGCAGGGATCTTCCATTTTAGGGTAAGATATAAATCACAGAACCTCTGACTTCCCGCCTTTTTGCATAATGAGTGAGGTTGCCAATTATTCCTCCAATCAATGTGTACCTGCTAGCCACACACTGTTATTACGCTCAAATGTATCATTGTAGCTTGATCTCATCTCTCGCCCCATCAGAAGTCTCGACATACTTGATATTCTACAAAGAATCAGGAATCAGGAAACATTTATTACCAAAATATGTCAAACATACAAGGAATTTGTCTTGGCGGTTGGTGCGCGACAGTAGACAGTGTGACAATAGACAACAAGACAGCAGTGCACAAGTAATAAAATAAAGTAAAATGAAATGTTAATGCTATGGGTTAGTAGAATGAGGCTATGGGTTAGTAGAATGAGGCTATGGGTTAGTATAAAACAAGGGAATAAAGTTAAAGTTAAAAATTTAAAATATTAAAAAAGTAAAAAAAATATTAAGCATAAAGTGCACTAGCGAACAAGTAACAAAGTGACGACAAAGTGATAAATTACAGTTAAAGTGACATGTGCAGTGTGAAGGGGAGTGACCGGTGGAATGTTATAGTCAGTGGGGGACCGGGCTCTGTTGATGAGCCCGACTGCCGACGGGAAGAAACCAAAGCCACCAACCCGACCAAGAGCTGTGCACGGTACACATAGAGAACCTGGTCATACTTCATTTGGCCTTTTGTTAAACATTAGAACTCTCTGCATCTGACACACAATTTGATGTGGTGAAGCTTTAAATACTGTTTTCAAGGGCATTAGGGACAGGCTTATAACCTACACAGAAGAAACATCTGTCTAACAGTTAGACGTGTCAATCGTGTCAACGCAGACAGCTGGATATTGATGTTTTGTACAGCTTCTGCTCAGTGGTTCGTTTGCCCCGGAGCTTTTGACCTGTAGAGACTGTTAGGGAGAATGTGACATGACGTGACAAGTAGGATGGGAGGACTGGGAGCTCATTCGAGGCTGATGGGAGAGCAGTCCAGACATGCAGGTAGTCACTACCCCTGGGAAACACACACACACACACACACACACACACACACTCACAGAACTATGAAAGGCCAGTGCAGGCCTGCTCTAAGCTGCTGAGTACACACAGATACTCGGTACAGTACACACCCCTAGTCATTAACACCAGCTGCCTTTGGAGATGGTTTAATAAACAGAATCCAGGGAACAAAGTGTTTATTTAGCTCCTACTTTAAAGGACTATTGTCTTCAGTCAGTTCTGATCGATTAAAAAGGTTATGTTTATGATTCGCGTGATATATTTAGTATCACATGCTTCGATAAGATGCGTTTATGTGTGTGGCAACTTTCAGCATCAAGATAATTTAAAGTGATTTATGTGTGAATGTAGGACATGTATATTGTAACGTCAGGTAATCAGTAAACTGGGCCAAACGTTGGGTCAACATATCTACAGGCGCATGTGACTCATAGAATCCTGTAATGTTCAACGTTACTTAATCTTGCTTTGAAGAGTCTTAAATTATTACAACAACAATTGGTCCGTTATGAATGGGTAGCTCCCGAACCCACAACCAGAAAATCTGGTTATTGTAGTGTTTAAGTAAAAATCAGATACATTTTGCAGGAGTTGGTGGAGACCAAACGCAGAGCTAAAAGAAAGTTAGTATTGCAGCGTGGAAGAAGTAAAAGGGAAGTATTTAGGACATAAAGTTCCGGCCTTCGATCCACGTTGTCTTCCTCCTCGTTATCGCTTCCTTCTGATTCATTCCTCCGTGTCTGTTGCTCTGTTCTCACCATCCCTCTCCCTGTGCGCCCCTGTGCAGTTCTGGCAGTATGGTGAGTGGGTGGAGGTGGTTGTGGACGACAGGCTGCCAGTACGCGAAGGCCGTCTGCTCTTCAGCTACTCTCACACCCGCAACGAGTACTGGAGCGCCCTGGTGGAGAAGGCCTATGCCAAGTCAGTTTCCACTACCGAGCATATGTTTCTGGTTGGCAATGTCTGAGATCACCCTTTTTCTCTGTGCGTTTGTGTGCGTGTAGCTACGGTGATTGGATACAAACACTCTTTCTCACCTCACCTCATGCAGGTTAGTCGGATGCTACGGAAGCCTGAAGGGGGGCAACATTTCCGAGGGAATGGAGGATTTCACAGGAGGAATCGCGTACTCGCTGCAGGTCTCGTCTCGTGCTCCTCAAGTCCTCTGGAGGTCTCTGACAGCCGCACTGTCTCGAGGGAGCCTGCTCAGCTGCTTCATCCAGGTACGAGAGTTCATGCCGCACAAAGACGGACGCAACTTCAGAACCACACGAGTCGCTCCCTTTGTCTTCACAGGCCAGCAGCAACCCCGAGGTCGGTAAAGTGACCGGAGACGGGCTGGTTAAGGGCCACGCTTACGCCATCACCGACAGCGACAAGGTCAGTACGACACAGAGGCAACACGACAGCGTTATTTATTCATTTATTGTTGTCATTGCGTGGTTTTACTGTGCATTTTGTTACTGCAATGATCACTGCCTCCCCAGAGACCATAACCTGAAACCCTGTTAGGTATTTTCATGAGAAACAGATGTAATTCATTGTTAAACCATCTCTATGAAATGCTGTCTAATGTCCTTTAATAATTTAAATAATTAAATCTGATCCCATCTCATCCAAACTATACTAATATCATCTAATTGAATGTAATCTTATTGTCCAATGGAATTGCATGTCATGTTATTCCATTTAATCTCATCGGTTTCATGGTAATAAAAATTAAAAATCCAATTGGGTTGAAATGAAATTGAATTTAATCTCACCATCCATCTCTATACTGACCTAATCTAATCATATTTCTTCAGTAAACAAAATATCTCTTAGCACAAAGTCCGTTGGCAGATGTACTGGAGCTTTTGATTGTATCACGTAATCTTCTTCTGCAGATTTTATTTGAATTGTTTTAAAATTGTGATTGAAAACTTTACCTTGTTGACACTTCGTTTCTTCTCTCTTCACTTTTCAGGTAACAAAAGCGTCGGATGAGACGTTGTTGCTGAGGCTGAGGAACCCCTGGGGCTTTGTTGAATATCGAGGACCCTGGAGTGACGCGTGAGGAAGCTTCCTGTTTATGCACTTTGTGTACGCGGGAAAGAAAGAGCACTCATCAGGTTTCTCTTTGTATATGTGTGACTGCAGGAGTAAAGAGTGGGATGACGTGGTCAAAGAAGAGAAGGAGAGGATTGACCTGAAACAGAAAGAAGATGGAGAGTTCTGGTTTGTGCTAAAAAGAAACCTCACAGAATATAAAGTATACAAATACTTTTTTTATATTAAATTGCTAATACTACTCAGTGAAAGTGCTCCATCACATTAAAATACACACTTCACATCACACTAAAATATTACTCCTGAAAAGTTATATAAAAACATAATCAGCTAAGTTGTAAAGTCAAAGTAAAAGTAACCATTCTGTTCATATTTTACTTTTATATTTTTCATTTATGATTAATTAGATTAATATGTCTGTTGTATTAATGTGTATGCCACATTTTACCGCTGTCTTTTACTCCTTATTTAATGTTGGCTAGTTGAATCTACAGCAGGTTTAATAAAATAATTGGGTTTGCAGCAGTAAAGTATTCATGAGCTCAGAGCCCTTTTTTCATCTTTATGACAGTTTATTTCAGTTGATCTAAATTATTTAAATACTGCAATAAGTAGAAGGATACTAAAGTAGTAACCGAATATTTCCGGTGTGGTGCAGTGAAAGATGCAATAGTAGCTGCTATTCACGCACGATAAGCTCTCTGATGTAATTGAGCCTCTCCATCAGGATCAGCGCTGAGGACTTCAGCAGGCTGTTTAACGTTGTGGAGCTCTGCAGTGTGAATCCTGACAACCTGGAGGACCAAAACATCGCCCTAAATACCTGGAGTATCAGTGAATATAAAGGATGTTGGGTTTCGGGGAGCTCTGCTGGCGGTAGCTCCAAATACACCCGTATGTTTCTAAATTTGTTCTTGTATGTGCAAAAGCTAACCTTTTAATAATTAATCAATTTGATCAATTTGTTTCCCTGGAGAATCGTTCTGGAAGAATCCTCAATTCCAGTTGGATCTCACGCAGCACGACCGGGCGGAAGAGGACAATCAGCATGATGATGGGTCGAGAACCCCGCAGGAGAAGAGAGCAGAGAAAGAGAAGAGCAAAGCCAAACAGTGCACCGTGTTTGTGGAGCTGCTGCAGAAAAACCGCAGGAAGAAGACTCAAGCCGACTTTCTTCACATCGCTTTCCACATCTACAAGGTCACATTTACTTTGTTTAATTACTTATTGATTTATTGAACATTGTGATCATTTTCTAAATAAGCTCACACCCGTCTCCGTTTCTTCTTTTTTTGCAGGTTCCTTCTGAGGTGAGTATCTCATGAGTTATAGTTTGTACATAGTGGTACATAATAAGAACTTGATCATTTTCCTCATTCAGCTTAAGGGTGTGTGTCTGAGAGGAGACTTCTTCAGGACAAATTTCCCCGTGGGTTCTTCTGGAAAATATGAGGCTCAGAGGTAAAAGACCATCGTAAAAAAATGCTGTATAAGTATTCATTCAACAACCTTTTCACAAATGTGGTTCTGATGCTTTTACTTTGAAGGGACTGTAGAGCATAGTAAAACATTCTCATTCCACGTTACCGGTGCACTGAATCGAGTGTTGTTATTCGTTATATTTGTACCTCAAGGGTTTCAGTTATTTTATTTATCTGGTAATACAATTTAAATATTATCAAATGGAATTATAATAATAATTATAATACGTCCAGGGAGGAAATAAACAACTGTTGCGCATGACTAATAGGGGCAGCTTTTAAACACATAAATCTTATTGTTTTCCCAATAATGAATTTGCTTTGTGCCTCAGGGGTTCGTGGAGGGAGATGCAACTGGACCCGGGGAACTACATCCTCGTGCCCTCCACCTTCCAACCCAACCAGCCAGGAGAATTCTTTGTCCGCATTTTCTCCAAAACTGGAAACACTCTGGGGTGAGATAGAGGGGATTTTTTTTTGAAGTGATTCCAAAAGACGACGAAAAATCAAGAGACCTAGTCTATGTATAAGATATGTCGCCTTATGTGTGGCTGATTAGAACTACTCAGGTTGCAGTTTGCACATGAACATTCTGTCTCGTGAGCATAAGTGGGTCGTCGTGGCGCAGGGGGTAGAGAGGGGTGTGCTGGGAACCACAAGGTTGGTAGTTCGAGTCCCGGCTGCCCCATGTCCCATGTCGAAGTGTCCCTGGACAAGACACCTAACCCCTAAGTGCTCCCTGGGCAAAATGTAAAAGCCATGGGTTAAAAATGTAATGTAAGTTGCTTTGGATAAAAGCGTCAGCTAAATGTAATGTAATGTAATAAGAATAAACTTTGTGTTCCAGGACTCAGGACTTCACCTGTTCCTCTAGCTTCCTTCAGGTGAGTTCAGTGTTTTTCGTCCGTACACGTTAAAAGGGCAGCCAATAGCGGCTTAGAATACCGTGCGTCTCGTTTGCAGGTCATGGCTACTCCTCTCTCCCTGGAAGATCAAGAGAGAGTTAAGAAGACTTTTGATGAGGAGGCTGGCGCAGTAAGAAATCCTCATCATTGTTTCACGTTCATTCCTTTTTAAAAAGAGTAAATTTGGAGCAATTGGTTTTCTGATATCTTGTTTCTCTCGCACAGGATGAAAGACTGAACCCCAAGGAGCTCATGAAGCTGTTCAACACAGGTTTACTTCCGTATATCAGTTCTTTATGTTTGGGCTGCATCTAAAAAAGACAATTCCAGCCATAAATACCAGCTATAGCCACTAGATGGGAGCAAGGTGACAAGTGACAAGTTCCCTCAAAAGTTGGTCCAGGGGAGTCACTGAGGTCAACAGTCTAGACAGAGGCTCAAAGCCGCAGTCAGAGTACATTTTAAGTAATACAAGTGACGACACTTGTCCTAACCTTCCCCTTTCCTCGTCTTAATCCAATTAAACCAGTATTTTCCTTCTCCGCATCAATCTGTGCCTTTCTTCCTGTGATCACAGCTCTTGAGAAAGATTACCATCTGCCACTGGATACATGCAGACAGCTCATCTTCGGAGAGGCTGTATCCTTTAATATACTTGACTGTCTTGACTCCTTGTATTTAAGGAGCCCTGTTTACCTTGTGCTGTGCATATGTCTTCCTCACCAATAGTTAAAAAACGTTGTTAAAATCTCCGTTGACCTCTGCTACTGATACATGGATTCAGATGTCGGGACGTGCGCGCCCCAGGTGCAGCACGCCTCTGCTACCATCTACTGAACAACATCAGTAATTTTGCCGACAAGAGTTGTTTGCAAAGAGCCCAGAGATATTAAAAGACAAAGACCCTGCTGCCATCTGGCAACCGATATCCACGTGTCAGCTGCTTTATCAACAGACCTCTGAGCAGCTTTTATGCTCCGGAGACTGCTAAATTCCCTCCCCACGTATCATCTTCTTGTATAACTCCTTGACTTGATTGAACCATATGCTCGTGCAATCAAAATGCAGTTTTCTGTACTATTTTTTAACTCAGTATTTGTGTGTATTGTGTATTTTCTTATCTAGCGAAATGGTAAAACAAACTCCATTTGGAGGAATCCATCCCAATAAACCGACGGTGTAACCTTGTAAAATGAGCAAGACTGACAAAGGGGTTCAAACCCCCGGTTGCGCCATTCTGACTCCCCGTTGTTTGGTTCCCTCATAACTTCTGTCCTGTTGAGGTGATCTTAACTCTGCTGGCAGACTAAAGGACGGTGCCGTCTCAGCCGGGAAAAAACAGGAACCCTGCTGTCCACTCTGCGCCATCTGCAGGTGCAGCTCTGTGTGTGTCTTTGTGTGTTAATGTGTTAAAGACAAAAATAGATGGAGGGTGGGGTCATCGTTTCTTATTCTAATGCTACTTTCTTTTCAGACCATCTTCTTACAGTTTGATGAGGACTCTTCTGGGACCATGAGCCCCTTTGAGCTCAGTGCAGCGCTGCAAGCCGTTGGTGTGCATACACGCATGCACACACCCACCCACCCACACACACACACACACACACATACAAACACACGCACACTGTGCTGGCTACAGGTGCTTGGCATTCACACCATCGCTCACCTCTGTTTTCCAGGGATGCAGTGTGATGGAAAGGTGTTGGAGCTGCTGTGTGAGCGCTTTGCATCTGGAGAGCTTCACATGCCTTTCCATAGCTTCGTGTCATGTGTCACCAGGATGCAGAAGCTTTTTGGTAACGGAATTGATGAATGTATTTGCAAATGACAAGGCAGTACCTTCTGTACTTTTTACTCTTTTTAGAATTCAGGACTGTTACTTGTAACAGTATTCTGTTAGATTTGAGTACTTCTTCCATCCCTACGACCAGGAGACTGTTAATGAAGCCCGTGATGTGAATGCGGCTAGCAAACATACATGTTAGACGTGCAGCCTGTTTAATTTTACAATTTGCTTTTATGTGTATTTGGACTATCTCCAAATATATTCAGGATACCTGTTAGAAGGTCTGCTTTGAAAATAAATACTAAACTTAATGCAGAATTTACCTAACGTAGAGCTTTTGCAGTGAGACTGAACGCCGTCATTCCCTCTCCTCTTCTCCTCCTCCTCTCCTCAGCTCTGTACCAATCAGAGACCAGTCAGGAGGTCAAAGACAGAGGGATCAACTCTGTGAGTATCTGACCAAATATGCTTTGATTAGTGTTCAAATACTGACATGGACAGCTTACTGGTTTTGCTCTGTTCACCTGTTCACTGTACAGTGGCTGCTTCAGTTCCTGGTGGTGTGACGATGCTTTATGAAGAAGGTCTCCACATCTGACCCAGCTCACAGCATGCTGTTTATTCCAACAGCGGTGGTCTCGTTGATGCTTCGGGATGCCGTTGTTTTGTTCTGGCTTTATCCTTTTTATTCTCCTTCATCTGTATAGCCTTGATATAAGTGAAAGGTTCATGGTTTGGCTTCATTTTTTTTGTGCAGGATTGCACATTGCATTGTGGTTGTAGAACATGAAACACGCGGAATAATTATAAATTAAAACAAAACAATTTAGAAAAAAGTAAGTAAAAGTAGCACTTAGAAATAACAATTATATCCTAGATTATATTACATAATTTAGAAAAATATGCGTGTAATGCTGTAATGTCACTCCACTTGTAATAAAACAAATGCATTAATTATGTTAAAGGTGTCCTTATTTCTTAGTCCACATTATTACCTTTTTTCTCAAAATAATGACTTTGCTCTTCAGAATAAATGATGAAAAGGAAACTGATCCCTTAAAAACGAAATGTAAAAAAATGATAAAGCTTACACATAACATAACAAGCCCGAGAGTTAACTCATCCCTTCACACACGAGCGCGCTCTGGGAAATATCTGTGCACGCACACGCAGTCAGAGCGAGCGCTGCCCGCCCAGCCGAGGGTGTGAGGTGTATGTCTCAGCAGCGCTGCACGCAGCATCTCTATTCTTATCGCACTGACGCCACGTAAAGCGTCAACATACACTCACCCCCTCCTCCAGCACGTTCCCTCTCTCCTGCCATCCATCCCTCACCCTTTCTCCCCCCTTCCTGTTCTCTCTAGTAACCGTCTGAGTCTCACAGTCTAAATCCTCCCGACGATGCTCGCTGCACACTCACACTATTCTACACATGCTGCTATTAATAGCGCCTCCGTTCACGCGTCTTCCTGTTCGTCGTTAGGCGACTACACACAGGTTTTTCTTCAGCAGCGGCCATCTGCATTTCTAATGGAGAGGATGAGCGAGCCGGGAAAGAGCAGTGGCGTCCGGCCTCTCCATCAACGCCTTCCACTTTACTGTCGCTGTGTAGGAGATCGATTGGTCAATCACCGTGGCCGCCACGTGGCTATCAAACCAGCTATCTTCACATTTTGACATGAGGATGGTCCCAAATGAAACAAAGTCAGATGATCCTCAAAGTGATTATAAGGATGAGATTTAGAGACACACCGAGCACCACACAACACTCACGCTTTGTTCGTTATGTTCACATTATGTTCGAAGACCACACATTGCATGTGATTGGATCTTGTGTTGTGGCGAGCGGACCTGCTCCTCGTCGACGCCCGTTTAGGGCCAATAGAAATATTTTATTTTATATCTAACAAGAAATACAAAATGTAATGTTTTTCCTGATGTTAGTCAGTTGTTCTTCCGGCCTGCGGGCCGACAGAACTGCTCCTGCCTTTGCAAACGCAGCGCTTATACTTGACCTGACAAAATACATCTACCAGAACGAGAGAAGTTGTTTGGCTGAATTTGTGCAGAATAACCCCAACCGGGCTACCAATTTTATTCACGATCTTTCACGATCCAAAAGGTACAAATGTGTAACTCTAACCCCAGTCAGCACATCCCCAGCAGCCTGTAGGATTTCCTCTCAGGACCATCCTTTTTTGGAGAAAATTGCATTGGAAAATATTTTAGTCTGGAACAAACCGGCGGACCAAAGATATCAATCTAAAACCACGCTGCTAGCATGATTAAAAAGGAGGATGATTAACTACACTTCATTTTTCTCTAATCTTAATTTTTCAAAGGAAGAGAAACACGTCTGACATACCAGAACATAAACATAATCCTGTTGACTTTCTCTTTCTGTTGATTCTTTTCTCCCACCCTTCCACCTGTTCTCTCCCTCCTGCTCCCCCAGCTGTCCTGTGGGACGTGACGATGCTCTGACAGGCCTGGCGTCTGCTCTTGGAGGTGCTGGTATTTCCGTAGCACAAGCGGCGGGGGCTGATACAGGAATAGTCACGGAGTTGTAGCCTGCAGTGTGGGAGTGGGATCTGTGGAGGCCTGTGATGGTTTGACAACTGTGAGATTTTAAGCCGGTGTGTAGACACAGGAGTTGGACCAGGGAGGATTGCGTAAGTCGGCTCCCTGGCAGCAAATTTAGCCCGGGCTCACTCACGCAGAAATACGATGAGCAGTGCAATCTCAGTCGTCAGAGCCCGGGTTATTTAAAGATGTGACTGTGTTAGTACGGGGCGTATTTATAGTGCGTGTTTTATTTACGAGCTGTGAAGATGGATAATTGGTGATGCAAAGAGCGACATTTGCATTACGGCAGCTCTCCCCTTCACTCTGCTCTCTGTTCCTCATCCGGCTGCGTCTGTATTTATGTCCCAAATGTGTCATGGTTGTCGACAACCAGGTGTTTTTCCTCTGTGCCACAGATATATCCCAGTGATGTGCCAGCTCACTCAAGCTACTTTTTACTTCTTGCCCAACTTCACTTCATGAAGAAAATTGGGCTAATAAGAACATCAAAAGATGTTTGAGGTTAATTCGATTTTTTAGCCTTTTCTGTTTCCACAACATTGTACAGTAATTTCTGACGCAACTATTCAACCTTTTCTATACTGATAAAAAAACGTCTACACTGACATAGCTGATACCAGGCCTCCCTTTTCCCAAATTTAGAATCCTTATACCTGGATGTGTTGAATTCACAGGATCATTTTTTAAGCGTCAATGACATTGCCAAAGAAATTGCTGTGGACTGTTTACATAAGACAATCATCTTTAAACACGCATACTGTACCTTAAGGTAAAGACCCAAACTCAATTAAATTATCCAGTTGAGCAATTGTTGATTAAACAGTTGAGACTCTTCTGAATGTTACTCCTTCCTTTGTGATCTCTTGTTACTCATGAAACTTAAAACAGTCATTTGGGTAAAGAGGGGCCTCTGCTAACTTCTGCTCCAGCTGGTGACCCCTAACTCCTTTTTTAGAAACCTGTCGAGTGATGATACATCATTAAAACGATTTTAATGGGACATAACTTATTTATTTAGGTTATTTCTCTTTCTGTAACATTTGTGTGCTCAGCTTCTTTTGACAAAGTGATGTCTGAATGATGTGATTTAATTAGGATTTAACTGAATGGTGTAGAAAACATGGGACCGCACTACATCTTAAAGCACCTTGATACCTTGTTTTGTGACGACCTCTATTTTGCTTACCTCACTGTTAATTGCATTTTTGTGTACGCACATGAGAGGAATACACAAAGACTGAGTCATATTATTTGCGTGTTCATGGCCAATAAAGGGATATTGTGCTTTTAAAAAGCAATTATATTAAAATACTGAACAATATGAATAATCATGCCCCACAAGGAGGCATAAACAGGTTGCAAACCCGTCAGAGTGCTGCCGTCGGTCATTCATGTGTTACTCAAATGCGCGATGACAAAAACATGTTTGAGATTCCACTCGCTAAACTCGAATGTCGTCACTGTGTGATGCTCGAGTTGTCGTTCAAGCACCTCATAATTGTTTACGTTGTTTACACAAAAAATAGCCTAGATACCTAGATAGATATAGGTGGATAGATGCCAAAGGAGAGTGGATGAGGAGCACTGTGTGGGCGGAGAAGGTCAGTGAGGTGAGGGAGATGCCAGGGACACACAGCGGTCTTAGTGACGTTTGCAGTGAGCACAGTCCTCTCTTCCACCCCCGTGTCTTTCTCTCGTTTCACGTCCCTCTTCCTCACCCACTCACTGAGTGGGGGGAATAATGAAGATGCTTCCGTGTTTCTTATCCAGTCTACTGAACTTAAAAGTTTATTGTTAAATAAAAAATGATCAATGGGTCGGGTCTAATTACCACAAATATTGTTGAAATTTGAAAGGTGCAGGTTGTATGATATACAGTATGTTAACAGATGAAAAAGTGATATATTTGATCCTTAAATACTTTGTGATTAAAACGTACTTTTACTTTAAACTCAATAATGCACCAAAGTAAACCATGAAAACAAAACCTCCCGAATATGGGAACAGGTTTTACATTAGAAATATGTCCGATTTATATAACAGTAATACTGTATATAATTGTTTAAATGTCATAGATACATTAAAAAGTAACTTTGGGTTGACACTTAGTTTTTTACCAAAATGACATTTTGAAATGCAGGACTTGTGTCTTAATTATTCCGCCCCTCAAATAATGGGATAACTTATATGTTACATGTAACAGGATTCGTGCATGCTTCATCATCGTCTGCAATCTAACCTCGCTGAGCAAAGAGCACAAAACTACTAACTTACTAACACCCGTGGCTTTCAGACTATGACGAGGTGGAATAATATGTTTAGAATGTAGAAAATGTGCATAGTGTTTAACACTGTATTCAACTCCCCACTCTGAACTCACTCTCCCTCTCCTTCTTGTCCGTGTGCCTCCATTTCTCTGGCAATCCGCCTCTCTGACTGGCAGCGAGCCCGTTGAAAGTAGGCTAGGATTGACGCTGTGCTTGTGTCTGACTCACAGAGAGCTGTGGACTGCTGAAACCCACTGATTGCATTTAACTTTAGGCGTTCGACTGCCATGCCGTGCGTGATACAATAGGGCCGCCCGCTCGGCTCTCTGCGCCTCGGTGCTGACGTTTCTGACGGAAAAGATGTCAATTCTTCTGACGCTGTGAACAATATTTAAAGATGATTATTTACAGAGACACCAAAATGAGAGACTCCTCCTATTGTTTGCACACTGGTGTGTTTGGGATGATAGCAAACAAATGGCCATTATACAAATTGTTGAACGGAAGTGTTTAAGAAGGCCAAATGGATGTAAATTGACAGTAGAGTTGCATTGTATTGTAATAAGAGGATCTCACAAACGAGATGACGTGAGAACATTTTTGTCTCAGAAGAGTCCACAACCAAAGCTATGACGCACGCTCAAACGTTTTACCTTCACCACCGTTCACTGTAAACGATGCCGTGCATGTGTGCGCTGTGTGGGTTCATGTAAACACACGAGTTCGCTATTTAACCGGAGAGTCGCGGGGATTTCACAGTATAAACACAAGTACATTCACGTAAACAAGACAAAGGGGAGCTGCTAGGGAGCTGTGTGCTGAAGCACGGAACAAGAAAAACTGGAAAGTCACACGTGTAAATAAAGTGTTAGAAAACACACTGAAAGGTGCATGTGAATTTCTTTTTGCACTCAATATGAGTTTTGTGGTCCCACCCGTCGACTGAGGGGTCCTGATGGGGATGCCGTTCCAGGACATCGCATCTCGGTGGGGCAAAGCTTGTGTCTGCAGAAGAAAGTCAGGCAAGTAGTTCTTTTTTATTCAGGTGTCTCTGTGTTGTGTTCACAAAGGTCACAAGTATTATCGAATATGCTCCCTGCTGTATTTAAATGGTAAAAAATCTATGTGGACCACCATGGTAAAGAAGGAAATATATTTACCTATTTATGTGTTGCAGCTCTAACTTTAGGTCGGTGACTAAATGATAAGCATATCGAACGAGGAGGCTGGAAGCTCCTTGTTTTCTTTGACACTTTTATTTAATTTGTAACTTGGAATTAGATAATAAGACAATCCAATATCTTACAGTAAATGTGTGCATATTATATATTATCCTTGGGAGAACTGATATGAGATACTATGTACGTATATGCAAACTATGTATGCAAACTGCCCCCAGGCTTCTCTTTTATAAGACTCTTGTAATTGTTCTATTAACTCTACGGGTCGTGAGATGCTTTTCATGCTGGTTGTCTTATGCAAGTTCCTTCTTCTAAAGTCTCTTTTGAAAAACAAAACGTATTCCCAGCAAGAGTCCCAGATTAATAAAGTTGGATATATGAAATGAGTCATCCCTCGGTAAAGGGTGAGGAGTTTAAACATCCAAGAGGAACTTGGACCAGTGCACCTACGTATCAAAAGACGACAACTGAAATGATGTGGCCATATTAAAACTGAAGAACAAAAAAAAAAACACAACCTGTGACTTCAAACAAAAAGTTCTTATGAAACGTTATATTCTCGGATTCCAGGGATCTAATTACGGGTGAAGTAGATGTTAGGCATCAAATGTTTCTGTTCATCTTCTATAGGAAAGTCTTTCTCACGACTTTGATCGCAAAATTAATAAAAAATCGACTGACTTGTACATCAAACTTACCGAAAAAGGGGACATGCAGTTTTGTTGAAGTGTAAAAAAAGGATGTCCCAAGTTCAGGAGTTTACGGTTCAATCTGAACTGAAAAATACTAATCAAATTGAAGCTCCACTTTTTAATTTAAACTCAAGCATTACGGTTAATGCAGTGTGCACAGGCCGTGTTTACATAGCCGTCCAGCAAGGCCTTCAACTTTGCCATGAAAGAATTACTGGATTTAGACAAGAATACATCTGTTATTAAACGGTTATATGGCAGATCTGAACTACCACCTGCCAGATCATGATCAACAACAAGCTTTAGGGCTTCTCAAAGTAGCCTCAGTTTCGGTTTTGTTGCTCCGAGCGGCTGGGAAGAGCTCTGAGGGAAATACTGCAGACAAAGAGGACAGAAAACCGTTGCGTGTCTGAGGGAAAAAGCCGTGGTATGAGGAAAAAGCTGTGGAATGGTGGCTTGTGATTGGCTGGACAGAAATCCCCGGTCGAATTTCTCTCAGTGAGGTGGGGAAAGCCTGTGTGAGACTTATGCAATGTTGTTGGGACACGGAGCCAGAAGGGGTGTAAACAACACCACTCCGAAGTGGGACAGGCCTAACCGTTGCCTGGTAACAAATATTTTGAGCAGGAAGACACGGTCCGCCTTCCAGAAGGGAACAGGGGCCGGCCTCATGAGCCCAGTGCAAGTCAGTGCTTCCCGAAAATACGCTAAGAGACAGCAAAACAAAGCCCATCAGGGCATTAGACAACACTGGGTCTATTTTTGACCTGGCTTGGCCCGGAGTCTAGACCAACGTAACGTGTAACGTTAGGTAAACAAACTCTCATGGGACAGAAGAGTTGAGAGAGGATTGCAAATCTCAGTCAAACTCTCTGAGTCTGGTCTAGACTCGTGACTAGTACAGTGATTTAACCTGGGGTGACCACAATAAGCCGTACCAGTGATTCACTTTCTCTATTTTACATACAACGTCAAACTTTGTCAGCTTTTCCACAGTACTTTTAGCTGATAATGTGTTTGGAAGTATCTTCATGTTTATGCTGTTCTGCTGTTAATCAGAGATAAGCAGCAGCAATGAGAGGAGTACCTCTATTAAAATAGGTAAATAGAATTGATTTGAGTACAACATGAAATGGCTGACAAAATATCTGCATAAAGCATTTGCATTGATATTAATTATATATATAATTAACATTATATTATGTTAAGCATTAACATAAATTCCTGCCATTCCTCCACAACATTTCAGTGTGTATGGCGTTGCTAAGCGTGCGAACAATTTGCATTTTACAGGCAGCAACGTGGACACGGTACGAGTTTTACCGTACGAGTTTAGCAAACGCTAAAAGCCTCAAAATAACTTTCCTCCGAATGGCTTGACTTTACAAAGCTAAAAAAAACAACAGCCCGTGACGATTAAACTGCGATAAAACAACAACAACTGCCGCGGTAACGTCCTCACGTCTGCTGCCGAACCCGGAAGCCATATTGTGTGCCGTCTGTCACTCAGAGCCGGTTTCCACGGAAACCGGTTGTTAGGCAGCATAACAAAAAGTCCACATTTATACGTCGTTGCGTCAGAGGCGACGGCGTATCCAAGGCGACGGAACGCTACACACACGCAGCAGAGCCGTGGAAGACACGTGGCCCCCGTCACTTGCCTTCGTTATTATTCGTACGTTGTAAAAGCCTAGCGGCAGTTTTTTTAATGCGTTTTGCTTGTATGTTCGCACAAGTATCCGCATACCAAAGCTGCATTAATCAGTAGGCCAGTTCTGAATGTGGGCCGGTTGCCTGCGTGATCAGCGATTCAGCTGAATAGTCGTCCCCCCTCCCTCCCCCATCGCGGAGCGACTCACACCGACGTAGTTAGTCATCCCGCTCCATCGGCGGCGCGGAGGGGACACCACTTCCTCCGTGGATCCTGTCTCTGACGTTGTTGGAGCGCTGACTAATAACGTGTTACCACCAGCTCTTCCCTGGTCGCTCACGTCTTTTCACGCATCGGCTGTCGCTGCTCAGCCCTGACATCCGCGAATGCCCGCGCCCCGTGACATTTATTTGACATCACAACCCGAAATGTAGGTTGTATTTTAGTTTTTTTTCTTCTTTTTTTTTCTTCATTCATAATTGCCACATTCCCACTGGTGTTCTTATAGGCTGGTATAATGAATCATCTCTACTCGGCCGGGTGGTGTTTGCTGTCACATGCTGCCCACTGTCCGTGACAGAATTGCGCTGCTTTTTCTTTAGTGGATTGAATGAGGCTGCTGTTGCTCACTGTCTTGAAATACATAATTATCTTAATCCGTGTAAAGACCGGGCTTCGTTTGAACGGTCGTTAAATCCATTAGTCTACTTGGCACCGCCCCTGTCTTCAGGTTTAGGGAGTATTCCGAAAGTCTCACGAAGGCGTGTCCTGAGAAACTTTAGAGGAGGATTTCCCTCGCATGCCCGCAGGGATTCCGCATATAGGTAACTTGGCGTTTTCACTGTTGCAATAAGCCCTGTGCATACATGTTTTATGGTGTTTACGCAAGCCATGTAGACTAGTTCAGACCAACCATGTCCTCTGTGCATCACCGTGAAGTTCATATACGTGCCTATTATTCACATGAACACAACAGTACAATCCCCAAAGGCGTGTATACAATAGGAATATAAGTACATCGATTGACGTCCCAACCCAAAGATAGACGCGTATTCAAACAAAGAGGGGGATAAAAGAAAGGCGTTACAGGGCAACCCGCAGAGGATCTCTTCTAACAAAATAGATTATTTCCATATTTATCTATCCGAAGTTTCTTAAAGTTTCCTCTCAGAAGGTCAGACGGTGAGAAAATACCTCGTTCCTGTGATATTATTTTAAAAAACAACGTCTATTATTACCCGTCGGCGAGGCGAGCTTCTGATCCGTTTCAGTGGGAGAGGGATTCCCTCAACGTCACCAAGGATACCAAACACAACACCAAAGTACAAATATGGGCATGTACGTCAGCGGATCTCCGAGGCGGGATTTAAAAGCTAGAAAATGCCTTGGTTATTCTCGGGGAGGATGGATTCATTCATAAGAGAAAAGGTCTGCTACTGTGCAGCGTCCCATCTAACGTCCTCTGGCATTCCTCGAGTGGACTTTATGGACATAAGCCTAATAATCGCACAGTTGAAGACGGAATAAAGGACAGCGCGCCGCGGATTCACAGTAAAACGAGAGCACTTCGGAAAATAGATTCATTTGGGACGCTTTCCCCCCTCGACAAGGGGAACTGGATTAAGCTTCTTCATGCAACTTTTTTGGAAAGACACCAAGAGCATCTCATCGGGGAATTGTAAAAACATCAGCAACGGTAAGTTAAAGCAACGCGGTTTAAAGTAGTTAAGAAACATCAGGCTGCTTTATGACATATTTACCTTTTGACATCGCTTTTGCAAAATACCGTAACACACCATCCGGCCAGAAGACTTGATTTTATAGCAGTATTACTCAACGACCAATGAATTAGCCTCGCTGGTTGGATATTCCAACTTGTGTTCCTGTCATATAACAAACTCTTTAAAACAAAACGATGTAGACTAATTAGTTTGGTGTTGTGCACATGCCATGTCGTTGCAGGTGACCTCGCGCTTTATCTGCTTGCTGAAGGTGTCACATTCCCTCTCGGTCCCTCCGGGGAGATGTACCAAGGATTCCCCGGCGACCTAGACAGCGGTTCCCGTGGAAGCTCCTCTCCATCCATAGAGTCCCAGTACTTTTCCTCCGTGGACTCCTTCGGAAGCCCGCCGACCACAAGTGCTCCGCAGGTATGTTTCAGACTGTTTATTAAACGACCATGAGAATGAATGGGAATGCATGTTTAAACAAATGGCCGCGTGTGGTCCTACAAATGGACCTGTTCTGATGGCTCCATAGTCCGCTACGTACGGCCTCCGATTAAATATAAATGCAGCGCTACCTGTTGCTTGCAGTAACCTCGGCAGCAACCTTCCGTCGGTGACAACGTGCTCCGCGCGCGGCGCGCCGCAGAACGGATGACAGGCCGCTGGAACTCTCCTACGTACGCGCCGAAGCCCCGCCCCCTCCCCGCGCCTCTCCTTCCACGGGCTCCGCTCTCCCCTCGCTGGCCTCGCCGTGACGTACGTGCTCTGTCTATTTTGGAGAGCTACGTCGCGTTGCCAAGGGGAACACCGGGGGTGTGACGGGGGCGGAGGAAGCAGGAGGCGGAGACTTCGCGTGTATAGAGACGAGACGATTGGTCGAGGCAGTCCGTGTGTATTTCACACTTTTATAAGACTAGTGATGTTGCTCAATACTGCCCTCCTCGGCTCTATATTAAAACCAGAACACACAGCAACAGCATATTCAGAACTGCCCCCCCATTGTTGTATAGGCCAATTTCACGCTATCATGTTGCCAGGGTTTCTAATTCGTAGATGGTGGGATGCCCCTTTTTCCACAATTTTTAAAATCATATGATATGATCATTGGTGTTTCTGGAAAAGGCGTTTTTATAGACTACATGAGCCATGTGCATACACTCACAAGTTAAACCCTATTGCTATGAATATGACTAATGAATTCTAATAATATATATAAATACTATATTATATTTAATATATGTATATATTTCTTTTTTAATTATTAGAAATTATTAGTTACTATTCAAAACATGACCTTAATTGGAATAACAATGCAGTCCATTTGAAAAAGAATTGACTCTTGATGTCCATGAGGTTAACGTGATGGCTACAATAGGTCTTAATGAATATGACAGAAACATTTGCATTTCTTTGTGTGTCTGGTGACTGACCAGGAACGTTAAATCATGTCTTTTTGTTAAGGAGTGTGTGTCAGCGGGAGCCGGATTGAGCATCGTGGGAAGCGGGCCAGGGGCCAGTGTCGGCGCAGAGATGCCCGGTTCCTTTGTGCCCACCGTTACCGCCATCACCACCAGTCAGGATCTGCAGTGGATGGTACAGCCGACCCTCGTCGCCTCCCAGGCCTCTGGGCAGAGTGGGTCCACTGGGACGACGACCATGGCCCAGTCAATGTCGTTGATCGACCCATACGACATGCCAGGCCCCAGTTACTCCTCAGGGTCTACATTCACCTCCCCAAGTTCAGAAAATCCAGGCCCCGCCCCGGGCCCGATCCGCCACTCCAGAACCCGCACTCGCCGTACACGAGACGAGTCTGTGAGTGACGAGGGGGATGTTGGTGTGTTAGTAAGTGTGTGTGCTTGCACGGTTTTGTTTGTTTGCTTTCTTACACATGCAGTGAAGGTGTATTGTTTACGTGGGCGGCAAAACTATCAGATCCAACTACTGTGTACTTCGCTGTTAAGCAGTGGGGTGCACCAATATGTTTAGGGGCATGGGTACTTAATGAAATATGGACACCTCACCGTCTTCTATTGGCAATTCTAATCACGCACAAAACAAATAAACAAGGAAATAAGGATGGAAATATGTAGGAGTCTGTTAGGGATGTGGATAAGAGTTACTATTTTTCAAATTGTCTCGGGTTCGCCCCCTTCACTGCATCATGGACAATACAAATACATTTTCAAGAACACAAAAAACACTTTTATCCTAATCCGTTTCATCTTGTTCCTCTTCGTCCCAGCTTACACCAGAGGAGGAGGAGAAGAGGCGTGTTCGGAGAGAGAGAAACAAGTTGGCTGCCGCCAAATGTAGAAACCGACGACGAGAACTCACAGACAGGCTTCAGTCGGTGAGCTTTCCCTCGTGATAGCAGAATGAGTGATGATCATACCCACATACTTTCAGTACCTCCCATAGCATTTCAGAGTGTGTTAATAGATGTGTGTATAAAAGAGCTTATGGTTTATGGTCATGAGGTTAAGCTGTGGTGGAGACATTGGTCCTCAAGAAGACTGTAGTTAGCAGTAGTTTCTTTCTCTTGTTCTGTTGCACATCCTCTTCATTCCTCCACCCATTCAGCCACCTGTCTCTTGTTCCACCGCTCCTCATTTAGCTCAGGCCTTTATCCAAAGCGGCTTACATTGCATTTTTAGCAACATGAGATATGGAGCAGGCAGGGTTCCTGGCATACCCTCTCTACTCCATGCACCACCGTTGCACACTGTTGAGTTCATCCTGTATTTGCCAACAGGAAACGGACGTACTGGAGGAGGAGAAGGCAGAGCTGGAGGCTGAGATCTCTGAGCTGCAGAAGGAGAAGGAGCGTCTGGAGTTTGTCCTGGTGGCCCATCAGCCAACCTGCAAGATCGCCTACCAGGAGCCATCTCAGCACAGCTCAGCGCAGCTCCCTGTCCAGACCTTACCACCTGCTGTCTCCATTGTGGGCTTGTCTGTGAAGGAAGACTCTTTCTATCTGCCTCCTGCCTATTCAGCCCATCCGGCCTCCACACACTCCCAGCCTCTGGTTCAGCAGCCAGTCCAGCAGCAACCTCAGCCAGGGATAATGCAGGAGGTAGAGTTTTCTAGTTCTTTCTATGGCTCAAGTGAGCCGGCGCCAGGCGGGTCGTGCCACATGGCCAGCGACAGTGGTGGTGGTGGTGTTAACCGTGACGATGCGGCCATTGGCAGCTACAACGCCTCATACACATCTTCATTTGTGTTCACCTACCCAGAGGGAGCCTGCGGGGTCAGTGCCAACCAGCGGAACAGCAGTAGCGAGCAGTCCTCTGATTCCCTGAACTCGCCTTCGCTGCTAGCGCTCTGACTGACCGATAGACACACGCACACACATATCAACGAGCACATGCATTAGGGTCATTGGAGGTAGAGGCCTGGGCGAGTATGTGCAGAGTACCGATCAGTCTCACAGATTGGGAGAAGAGAAACGATCTGTTTTTTTCAGATTGGGTTAAAGTTTGCAGATTCATGCATTCCAATCAAGAGCCATACAAATAGTTACATTAGCTCTGACCTTTGACAACAATATATTAACCATTCCTTGTTCTGTATTAACAGAATACCTGCAACTTTTACAAGATAAGTGAGAAAAAAAAACTGAGTTACAAAATCATGTCCAAGTTGCAAATCTTGAGTGCTCTGAGTTAAAAGATGAATTCCAAATGAATATTCTCAATCTTCAACTTAACAATACATTGAGAAAGAGACCACAAGCCAACTTTACACTCCAACAAGCACCAGTGCCCCAACCGCGTTCCCTCTGTCGGTTGAATTTTCCAGTGCTCAGGCTCTCATCCTTTTCCATCCTTTTCTCTCATCTTTGGCTCGCTGAATGTATTTGTGCAAGACAGAAATTAGCACTAAGGACACTTTGTTCAGGTCTTTTCTTTTGGGAGAACATCTGCCAATTCCTTGCTCATCTCTAACCTTTCATCTGCTCGACTTCCCTCTGCTTCTTCATTTTGCTGCTTGGACTTGGCAAGTCGGGGATCTGAGTATCTGAGAATCTTCTGCTTTATTCTCACACTTTTTTTAACTTTTGTATTAATCTGCCAAACTGCCATGCGACCCATCTCTGCCCATCTGTTTCTCCTATTCTGTCCCTGTGTTTCTCCTTCTCTCTGAAGTCTTTGACCCCTGAGAGCCCGAAGACCCCCTCCAGCCCTTGGGAACATGAGTGAATGGCAGCCCCAACTAACACGCCCTTTTGCACCCTCTCATACGAGGACGTGGACACAGCCGCCATAAGGAAGACCCTTTTCTTGGAGCGCATTGCTCAAACCGGATCCTTAGTGAACAGCGGCTACACTTACGCACATAATTGATGTAGGCAAAATGCAAGGCGGATGCCACCGTCTTCTGCTGAGCCATGGTCAGGAGTCCACATAATGAAAATTAGACACGTCTTGTGTTGTGAGGGCCGGTTAAAAGTGAGGATGATAGAGGTTTTGCGGGTAGGGAGATAGGAAAGAGCACCCAAGCTGGATGGACTCAAATAGAGAGGTGATGGATGACTCCCCATCGTATCCACATCCATTTTTGGAGAAAAAAAAGTGTTTTATGTAGAAAAAAAAAGTTTTCTTTTGCCAACTGCATGGAAACCTTCAGTGTCACAGAGCCTCATCATCCGGGGCCTAGATGCGTATATTGATACCATCGCTTTCAAGTCTCTGAACTGAAGATGGATGTTTTGTTGCAGCACTCCAGCTCTGTGTTTTCCTCAGAACCAATCAGATGTGAACCGATGCCTTTATTTGGAGCACGGACCTTTTCATAGAGATTACATGAGACAACCTCTAAACATTTGGGCTCAGTGGTGTCTGTACCTCCTCTGTTCCCTCAGCGGAGACCAGGTGGGGGTGCGTTTATTGTGAGTGCGTCCACTCTGTGGCCCCTGGCCCATTTATTTCTTTTTTTATTGAGGTTGTTGTGGCGAGCAAGCGCAAAGCGAGAGCTGTAAACAAAAGGGGAGGACCCGTGTGGTGGAGTGAGCGTCCTTTTCTTTGCCTGTGAATTTGTACAATTTGTTTTCAGTATGTTTGAGTGAGAATAGTTGTATATTTTAATGTTTATGTTTGTTTGTGCGTGTGATTATTTTGCATTGACCTCTGCTTTCATTTGTATTGTTGCCATTTCTTGTTTTGTGATTTTCTCATTACTGTTACTATAAGTTGCATCGTGACTATCGTTTATTATTTCGTTGTATTTTCATTTGGCAACTTTGGGGGCATGTTGTGCACTACAAAAAAAAATTAACTATAAATCTATATGCACATATATACAGGTAACATCTATATATAAGTGTACGTACAATGATTGTAAAATATGAATGTCTGCAGATCTAAATGGAATATTTTTGTCAATGAAGAACAAGATAAATCTTACTGAGGTTTAGTTTTAAAATAGATATTTTTCTAAAAGAGCACAAAAAAACTATAATAGATTTAAAGTACCGCCCTGTCCCATGAAGCACGATGTCATTGCCTCTATCAAGGTGTATTTATGTTTTATAAACAATATAAAGCACTATCCAAGTTACATTAAATGTATGTTTATAACTACGATGTAAGAAGGTTCTGGTAAAGCCTTTTTGTGTTTGTTTTTGTCTGTGAGGTCTGTCCCAAAGCTACTGACACCTGGATGCCACTTGGCCCTTGGCAGATGCAAAATAAGGGGGAAAAAATTGTGTGGTTGAATGTCATTAAAGATATTAAAAGTGTTCAGGATAAAACATAATGACCTAACTGTTTGATTAAGTATTCATTTCTGCCCAATATAAAAATAGCACTCGATAAAATTGTTATTTGCTGAGTGAATCCTATTTTTAAAGGATAAGAACATTATCATGTTGCTCCATTCATGTACTCAAACAACTATTTTGTCTTATTGAGATGAACAACTATTGTGATTACGTTTGCTGGATAAGAGGCTTTATTTTGCATGAATAAAAATGTTTATTTTAAAACAATGACCAAACGGATGGTTTAAACGTGGCTCTCGGTGTTCAGACAATGGGCAGACCTCATTTTTTAAATGTTGAATAAGGACTGTGTTTGTACAGATGTCGGAGAGCCTTTTGGTTTATCTCCAAATGCAAATGTGATGAGCCTATGTTGTCAGAATAAGCATAAAACATATCCAATAGTTCTCATGTATACAGGCTTATCGTGGTGCTACTTATAGAATGATGGCGAGGCCGTTTCACGTTCAATGGCAGAAGGTTGCACATTGCTGTTGCTGAGGCGCTACACAAATGAACACACTCGCTTGTCTCACCGAGACGTTTGATTCTGAAAGGCTGCCAATAACACAGTGAATTCCCAGCAACTGAAGCTCTGAGAGCCGAGTAATCACTCTGTGATTTCATAATGCTTCAATATAAATTTCTTGCTACATCTTTAAGTGTGATGAACAATGTTCAGAGGCCCCTTGCTCTGAAATTGTACTCCAATTGTGCCCCAGATCACCACACAACATATGAGACTCATTCTCCCATGTGACATCTTTGCCTTGGCTTTCCTGGAATTTGCTTTAAAAAAAAGTTTACATAAAATAATACAAGAGAAATATTTAGCTGTTATAAAACAGAGAAACTGCATACTGTTATACTGTAGTAAGGCTAATGTGTAAACAAGAGCTTTGCTATTTTCTCTATGGAGGTGAATGTTGATATAGTATGTATTTCTATCTTTCCAAAACTCCCATATACACTCAAATTTCATACTTGCCCTGGTATGAAATGCAATACATTATCCTCTTGGATAAACATGATGTAGCCAATCACACAGTGCTCAAACTGACCGCTACTTTATGTCAAGTGTGGTGATATATTGCTTTAACAACATTTTTTTTTTACAATGTTAAAAGATATGCTGAATAGTTTTTGGTTTGATATATTCATCCTGAAGAAATGTTGTTAATTTATCCAAAAGAATAGTTTACATGTATCAATCATGTGCTGAAACACTAACAAGGTTCATCCATTTTGAAAAGCCAATACCTATTGTCTAATCTATTCTGTTAATCAATGTTTCTTTGTTGTATTATTTTTATTTCTTTGTAGAACAAATTGTTATTTTGTCACATTTGGGAAAAGAATGTGGGTGATTTACATGTTTCGGCTACAGTAGTTAGGAGCTCAAATAAACTTTTTTTTAGGTATATGATTTAGGGCACACAGATAATCACATAATAATGAAGGTGCTCTAATATACAATTGTTTATTTGTTATTATTCTGTGTCCATATTTCAGCTTCTGGGCCTGTTTTCTGTTATAAAAGTTTACATTGTAATATTATTTTCACAGTTTTTAGACTGCGGAAGCTTGGTGGGCTGTCTCCTCTAATGATTTGACCAATGCAATTCCTTTCAAAATTGTCAAGGGATTACATAAACAAAACAACATATTATGAGCTACCTGTCTCACGCTTTTTAATTCTTGACCTTTATTGAACTCGTTGGACTTGTGCATGAATATTTTTCTGTTTTAGGTTTTAGGTATCTGTTTTAGGTGAGCTGATTGTGAAAATTGTGAAAAGGCCACGGTGCTTCAGAATGTTTGAAATTGCTTTACACAGTATGAGAGGTCCAGTAAAGCAAAAGTGTGCAGAACATAGTTATGCCAATTTAAAACTGCAATCAAGCCAGGAAATGCCATCATATGACTGTTTTTCCGATAAGACGTATACTAATGAACTTGCCGAGGTTTGTCTATTGACTTGATTTCCATATGGTTTCTCATTGTTTAGACTATTCCCATTGAATGTTTACCTTTTTCCTCCCATTGCTCCCAGAGTGTTGTCAGTCCATTACATGTGAAAGTCCTGGATTTGGTAAAAACGGCTCTTTTCACAATGTTAGCCTACATTATTAGAGTATTATTTTATTATTCTTTCATCAATCATTAATACACATAAGAGCATTTTAACGTCCCAGATACTTTGTGGTATAATGGGTCAGTTCTCAGTATAGTCCTGCAGATAAGCAGATCCATTCAAAATGCAGTGTTCCTTTGTGTCAAATAAATGCAATGGAGTAAAAAGGTAAAATATGTTCCTGTTAGTAGTGCGGGTTAAGGCCTATACATTGGCATGTAGTTAGCCACAGTAAACCTAATATCTAACAATTAAATGATAAACGGCATAATTGGACTCATTCGTAAGAAAACCATCAGTGTGTATTCGTGGTGCTGTGTACGCGCTCTATGTTACTCTCTAGCGTTCACATATGAAACTTCACGAGCCCTTCTTCGGGCGGAAGTGGCGTCACAGGAGCAGCGCGAGCTCTCCGGATGTGGCTGACGTCACTCGACATTTGGTGTAAACATGGCGTCCGTGACAACAGGTGAGAGCAGAAAGGCCCGGCAAGCCGTCGTTACTGCTTGGTAGCATTTCAAACCTCCCGGAGCTTCACTGTTTGGCAAACTCGTCCGTCGCCTTAATTCGGGATGCCGTCTGCAGGTTTCTCAGTCGGTTTTGTTCGCAGCGGATGGCGGAGATGAGCAGCAGCGCCTTTGAATTCACAGCTACCGCTAGAGGAAGCTAATGCTAACACAGATTGGCGGAGTCGATTTGTGTGAATAAACCCGCGAGCTCCCTTTCAGTGGTTTTTAACAGGCGTCAAAGGGAGAGTTGTGCGCTGAGCTCCCGTTCTTTCGTTCTCCGTGTGGGTTTGGGCTAGCTCGGTCATTTTCCCGTGCTAATGTGAGCTATCCTGATTTAAAATTCACGCGGTCCGATTCACGGTGCTCTACCCAGGCTAACGTCAATACATTTTAACATAAATGAGTTATTTTGTGTTTCTGTCTTGTGTGGCTCTTTGTATCCACCGCGTCAGTTTCCTCTCTGTTTTTAATAGCGTGTCGGTAGTTCAGCGTGTTAGAGCTATTGTCCCGGCAGCTGTTGAGCAACCATCAGCCTGTATCTGGATCCATCACTCCAAATACAGGGCGCTTCATTGTTGGTGTTATAAATAGCCCCGGCTAGTCCGCATCAGAGCCCACTGTGCTGCTCTCTGCCCCGGCTTACTACCGTTTAATATCGGCCCCTTTCCCCCCCTGCTGTCCGCAGTATCACTGAGAACCAACAATACAATTATATTTCATCACAAATATAACTGCAACGGCGACCTATACTGGTTTCAGATTCTCACAAATGTACATTTTCCTTTATATAATGATGAATTAGTTTTGTGGTTTTAAACTCTGATTAAAGAAGTACTGAATATGTAACCTTTTGTTATGGGATTGTGATAGTTGCTGAGTGAAATTATGACAGTGTTTCACAAAATCATTTTTGTTGTCCAATTACTAATGGTCTTTTCCCCCCCTTTTCTTAAGCCACCTCCGAGTGGATTCAGTTTTTTAAAGATGCTGGGATCCCAGCTGGCCTCGCAGTCACTTATGCAGTCTCCTTTGTGGACAACAGGTAACCAAATACTGCTCCTTCATCGGATTTTGAGTAATAAACTAGAGCCACACTGTTGTGCTGGATCATGAGTTTCCTTTGCACAATCACATCAGAGCCTAACTGGGCCGAGAAGCAATAAATTGTCATGCTCCAAAGGAGAGCAGTTTTTTTTGCGTTTTTTTTTCTGGTGATAATCGAGTGTGTGCGTTTGCTCTAGATGGCTTTGAATTAATGAGCGCCAATCTATTTTTTCTTTTATCCAGAACAAGTGAACCAAAGTACCTACAGTATTGTCTGATCATTCGTGTCACTGCAGAATTCACAAGAACATGCTGATGGACCTCAGCAAAGACATCATGATGGACCTCGGCATTACAGTCATTGGAGACATCATTTCCATTCTTAAACATGCTAAGCAGGTCTACAGGCAGGTGAGATGAAACTTAACAGTTTCACATTCTGAAGGATGAAAATGTTGAAAATATGGTGTTTCTTTTCTCCTTGCATTTCCAAACAATGCCTCTGGAATATACACAGTATAATTGTGACTGCAGTCATGGAGAATGGATGTCGAAGCCACTGCAGTAGACCGTTTATATAATCTCTGTAATGTGTAACCCCTCTTCAGGACATGTGCAAAATGGCCACCGAAGCCATCTCCTCAGGGCAGACCAGTGTGAAAGCTGAGCTCCGAAGAACCGCCAATACTCGTAAATATCTCTTGATTGTTTGCATTGACGAGAACTGATCCTTAATTGTTTGTTGTCTTAATTTATTTTTGTCAAACTTGAGTTACGGTTCATAACAGATTGTGAAGTCATTTAACCCATTTTAATAATTTGTTTCTAATCACGTTTCTTCTAATTCCAACCAGTGTATGCCATTACTTATGTGTACCATGTCACAATAAATCAGCCCTTTACCAAACAACATGAATCAACAGTTGTACATTAATACACTGGGCCTGCACTTATTAAATTAATAAAACTGACATGTTTGAAGTCTGATAGGAAGTTATCCCGTCAGCTGGGTTTCTCCCAAATGGAAGTTTCACCCTGTTTTTATGTTGAGGACTTAACTGTCTTCTGATCTCACGTTGGAGACAAAATAGGAAGCAAGTACGTCACAATTACTTACTCAATATTCTGCTTTTTCTCAGCGGCCACTCGTATGATTGCCAACGCTTTGAGCCACGACTCCCCGCCGACAACTCCAGCCCGTCGTCCAGACAACCGCCTCTCGGTCACAGTGTCCAACATGCAAGCAAACAAGAGCAGCAAAGCAGGTAGACTTTCATGTAAAGTGTCTTTCACCCCATCCATCCCTTTTTTCCCCCACCGTCTGGAGCCACGAGTCCTATCTTATTTTCACCTTTCCTTGTCCTCGTGTACCCACCGCTTGGTCTGTCAGTTATAAGTCAGCCAGCTGAAGAGGGGAACAGTTTGCCAGCAGCGAAGCACCGACGAGTGACAGCTGAGATGGAAGGCAAGTACATCATCAACATGCCCAAAGGCTCCACGCCTCGTACACGCCGCATCCTGGCCCAGCAGGCCAAGAAAGGTAGGCCTGACCCAGTGGCCTCGCCGACAACTCGCCCCAATAATGCTGTTTCTTACCACAGCTAATCAATACTAAAAGTTTTCATGGACTTCCTTCATACTAAAACTGAGTTGGGTTACTCTGGGCTGATGGTTTTCCGGTTTGACCTTCATTCATCTCCTCATTCCCCATTTAATCACTAGTCTTTACTCATACTTTCCACTGCACAGTATTATTCCTCCTTTCAAACTGCTTCTTTTCTCCTTTGACTCACATCTCCTGCATTTCACCCAAAACAAAAATCTTTGACTGGTCCTTTTTTTTTTTTTTTCGTCTGTGAAACGAGCTGTGATGCCGTCAACTGCTTAATGTTATGAATATTTATGTCATGAAAGAAACTGTGCCCCTAGTTTAGCTGGTTTATTCTTTTTTTTTTCCAAGGTAATCATCAAAACAGAATTCGTACAGCCGTCTTATTTATCCAGCGTTAAAGTTCTTCTGGTCAGAGCTTTCTAAGCAAAAGCTAGATTTCCAATTGTAGTGTATTCATAGATGTAATACACTGACAAAGTGTGCAATGAATAGTTGATTTTTAAACCATGGCTTTAGATTCCAAAAGCTGTAAAACAAAACTCTCTGCACTACTCTGCAGTAGTCATGGGTATCCATCAGCGTCGGCTCCATTCGCCAGCAGCAGGAGGAGTGATGGGAACACGGTAGCCGGGCGGACGCACTGATTGTGGTCGTCTTCTCTGATGTTCATTCCGTAATCAACAACGTTCTAAGATTGTTGGCACAGAGTTTGAGGAGAGACTGACTGACCGATATAAAAAAGGAAACAACCATCACATTTCTGTCCTTCATGCTGTTTTCTACTGTTTATTAATCCTGTTTTCTGGCGTGTGTGCAATAGAATTCAAAAAACCTAAATATAAATGCCCTAATTTAGTTTAAAAAAAGATCCCATGGGACTGCAAAAGTCACAGCGTTTTTGATTTAACAATTATCAAACATGATCACAGTTGAGCGGTCACAATAATTTCTGCTCTGCTCCCTTTGAAAAGGATTAAAACGCACCTCCGTGTTTGCAAGACTTGGAGCTGAATCGAAGGCCGACACAACAACAAGCAATAACAAGGTGAGGCTCGTCCGTACAAGGTGATCGCTCACTTTGTATTGTATTGGACTGTAGACGTGGAGATAAACTCGGTGCTCGTAATTCTCCCGTCTGGCAGCCCACCGGTGTGTTCAGTCGTCTTGGCAGAGGGGACGAAGAGGAAGACCAGCCGCAGCCAGACAAAATGTCCACATGCATCGACGTAGACGACGAGGAGGACGACAGCGACGGAGAAGGCTCCGTCCTCCAGTATGCCGGCGTCCTCAAGGGTGCCCCGTCCTTCCAGAAGAAAGAGCCCGCCACCAAACCGCCGCCAACCACCCTGCGGCGCCTGGGAGGCAAATTCAAACTACCTCCCTCTGACACTACCACATCCTCCCCCTCCTCCTCTTCCCCTAACGGCCTCCCCAGTGCCAAGGTCAGTGTGCTTAAAAGACTGGGCAAGCTAGCCGCCACACACCCCAGCGCTGTGTCACCCGCACCTGCTGACACGCAGGACAACCGGGTGACCAGCACCAGGCCCAAAGCCCAAGAGAGACTCACCTTAGCAAGCTCCAAGGTCAGCAGCAGCACCGGGGCTGGGGGAGGGGCTGGGGGAGGGGCAGACGGAGGCGCAGGAGAGTCTCTGGGTGCCCAGATGGACATCGGAGCTGTCAGTGTTTTTAAGAGGTTGGGCAACAAGAAAAACTAACGCCTGAATCCCCACAAAATGATTTAGACTCTTTCTGAACTGTATAGAATTTGTATCACTCCCTCTTCTGCGCTGGCGACGAGCGAGACTTTATCATGTGGATGGTCAGTTTTAATGCTGCTTTTTGGCTTTGGGTTACTCTTCGATGAATATACCTTTTTTTTAAATTATTATATTTCAACCATGCTGCCACAGCAAAACCAACTTTGTTTAGTGTTTGTTTTTAATTGGAGGACTCAAAGTTCTCAGTCATATCTGCCATTTATGGTTTAAAAAAATACGTAGGTAACTGTTTGCACGCTTATGGCATGAGCATGACGTCAACCGAGCTGCCATAATTTTACCTGTCAACTCCTCATGTAAGGGTGCTGCTTCCTAAACTTCCCTTTTTCTCAGAGTCCCGCCGAATGGGAAGAGGTAAATACATGTTTCCCCAACATGACTCGTTGGTCATTATGTTGATATCGGCCTGAAAAGGAATTGTCTCTCCGTAATTAAGGTACACACATCTGACCCGTGAAGTTTATTCTTTAAATTAACACACACGACAACCGTCAGAGGGGAGACTGGTCTACTACTACCTTCAACAGCTCAAAATAACCTTGTCTACCGTGTTCGGGAAAGTAGAAAAGGTGTCAATGAGAGAAGTTCTTAACTTCCGCCAAGGACTCACTCCCGCTTAACAAGGAGCACTGCACCTCATCCCCCCCCCCACAGATAACCACCTCTCACCTGGGAACTACATAGGCTCATGTCTACCTCTCTACCATTGTACTGAACGTTTTCTACAAACACCTGCCAGTGGAACATTGTTTATTTTGAAATGCAATGTATAGCATTGTTGGACCTGATTTTACACGGCACAGAATCCCTCAAGCTGCATATTTTTCTATGTGGACACTCATGTCTCATGTATGCTTGTAAAGAAACTCCAAGATACAATCATGTCTGGTGTCATGGGGCCGCTGCAGGTCTAGAGTAGGAAGTTCAGTCACCCAGTATGGCTCATGGTCACCTGTGTCCTCTTTTGCTCTTTCTTCACACCAGAACTTTGTTACACTGTAAATATTTGAAATGTTTAAAATCACATTATGGAATTTTTATAGTTTCAAAGAACAAGCCAGGTTCAAAGACCTCATGGTTTTTTTAAAGGGTATTGAAGAAAAGTGATTCTGATTTTGAGGAAAATATACTTGGAGAATAATAAAAAGAGAAGAGTCCAAAGTGCTTCCCTCTTTATTTGTTACTCGCTCAACACCATGTCGATACACTTTTTTATCCTACTGTGGACATTAAGATGATCATTCATCAATAATCTCATTGAACTTCCACTCCTCTCCCACTGAGGTTGCTGTTACATCATTTTGGCCCAACTGTGAGTGATATGTTAATGATGTTTCATCATAGATGCCTCCGTTACCCCCCCCCCTCCCCCCCTGCAGCTAGGAGTTGTACAAAATGTCTAAATGCCACTTGATTGTTGGCATGCAGGAAAAACCTACATGCCAACATTACACCAGCGTTCACCTGGATATGAACGCAGCTCCCGTCACTCATTGTAATATTGAGAGAAGTCAGTTAGTTGCTGTAGTCCTATACATTAACATTGATAAATAATCAGTTTGCTTGTTGAAATGACCCCAGAGGAGCTGAACTACAGATGTTTACGTGACTCACTGACGCCTGCTCCTGGACTGAGTTAACGCCTTATGTGGATTTCCTGGCTAAGTCACACCTGAGAGAGGTATGTTCTACAATTTGGAGAAATAAGATAACCTCGCTAGGTTTAAGCAATTGAGCAAAAGTGCACGTTTAATTTGTAGAGATCACATGCTGCAGGTTCGCCTCACATCGGATCAGAACTGAGTGTAGTGAGGACATTTGTCCCCTAGAGGTCGCTCTCTTCCTCCTCCGGTCTCCGCGGCGTCGTGCTGTCCGTCTGCATCTCCTTGAAAACCTTTATCAGAAAACATCAGGTGCCCCCGTTTACCCAAAATGTGATTTTTACAGGAAGGATATAAATTGACGTAAGGCTGAATTCATCTCTATCAAAATACCTGTTTTTATTATTTTGCAAAAAAAGGCTGGCCTCTTTCAAACAATAGGAGTGACGTAATGTGCGATATCTGGCCACAAACACTTTTAATGAATCATTTAATTATAGCAAACGGCGTGTCGGCGTGGAGGTTTTCAATAATGCGCATCCTTAGATTAATGGTCCAATTATTATTAAAATAAGCACCGTGTTTTCTATGGACACATATATATATATGTATCATTGTATTCTTCCCACTGTTCCCAGTTTAAAGTGCATATATTTACAAATAGGCTAATCGATGGACTCACACACGTTTCCTCCGGTTTTTCCTCGTTAAATCTGGAATGCAGCAACGCCTCACGACTACTTTTTTTTCCTTCTTTCTTTACCCAGAATGCTCTTCGGCACGGGTTGTGTGTGCGCTGTTTGTGGTGCTGAAGCTGCGCGTGCCTCTCAGGTCGCTACCATAGAAATCCACCCGAGCATCCATCCGGACCACAACGGGGAATCCGGTTTCTTTCTTTTTTTCGACGGTCGGAAAAAACTGCTGCGAGATGTCAGGATGTTCCTGCCAGCTGTTTTAGCCCGATTCGTCTCGCTTTAAACGCTCAAAAGAAACACTGAACTTATTTTATATTACGGCTTTTCTTTCAGGCACAATCTGACAAAAGCTGCCGCCGCGTTTCGCCGCTCCGCATCCTTTATGCACAGCACGCTGCTCCGGTCCTCCCCGACGAAACGCACCTTCGTGTCCGAGCACCATGGCCCGTTCCCGGCGCTTTCGCTGAAAGACATGGAAGCCAAACAACACCCGATAAAGAGCCTGAAGAGCTACCCGGAAACCGGCGGCCGGAGCCTGGCAGCGGCGCCCGGAGGAGACGGAGGAGGAGGAGGAGGCGGCGGCGTCTTTCGAGCCGGCTCGGCTGAAATGGACATGGAGGCGAAGATTCAGAAAGCCATCGACTTCAAGGTGGAGGGTCACCGCTGCTACAAGGAGAAGAAATTTCGGGAGGCGATCGGCAAGTACCACCGGGCGCTGCTGCAACTCAAGGGGGTGCACGTCATCGACGGGACGGCGGGCTCCGAGGTCAACCTGCTGAGCCAAGCCGGGACCAAGATGACCGAGGACCAGCGGAGAGCCGTGGAGAGAACCGAGATCGAGTGCTACGACAGCCTGACAGGTGAGCGGCACCTGGTGCACCACCTACCCACCCCCATAAAAACACCCTCACCAACGCATCGCGCGTTCCGGTTCACCGGGTCCACACAAGCCGCTGGTTTCTGCAGGTCGCGGGTTCTCGCAGTGCCAGATGGAATAACTTAGCTTACATGAATATGATCATAATGTGTCTTGGTGCTGACTAAATGGAGAATTGGATGTGCGCACCAAATAATAATGCTTTATTAAGGCCCTTTATGCCAATTGAAAATTAACTGTGAGAAAAATGGAAAGACAATAAATAAAGTCACACGTTCCAAAGCTCCACAGGAGACCTGCGTATTTTCAATATTGGAAAACTTTGTTCTGTTGTTTAAAAGTCAACATCTTCCAAACATCCAATCGGTGATGTATGGATTCTGAAGGCAGCACTTCGCAGTGACATTACAGGGTTCGCTCCTGCACAATATCGCCTATTTAGGCTAAATGGGTGTGTTAAAAGAAGTAAAAAAACATTTGCTCTTTTCAGCATGTTTCATATATTACAGTATTATCGGTAAAGCATCTGGGAATCATCAATTGGAACAAAGATGACTTCAATCAAATAATTGTAATTTTAGCCCAATATCAGAAATCACAAATGTGCGTTTGGGACTTTACAATCTGTATCTGTATTAATATCTTGTTTTAATGGGAAAACAGAGAACAACATGTTCAGTTTAGAATGATATTTAAAGACTGCAAATCCTCCCACGGAAGAAACTGGAGCTGTGAGGAAAAATAATAGGTTGCGAATAACTTTCAGCTGATTCATCTTTTAATCAACAAATTGTTTAAGCTCTATTCTAAACTTGATATAATGGGAAATATACAACATTTTTTGCAGACTGAATCAGTATTCATCCAACTGATATTTTGTATTATATTCATATTTGCCGTCAATGAGTTTGAAGAGAACCTATCAATCAATCATTGATCCATACCTTTCATCAGCGCAGACTGCTTGGTAATGGGAAACGTTCAGGAAGAAATACGCCATCTATTTTGCAACGTTAACCATCCAAAATAGTGCATCAGGATTTACTATATGAAGAAGTACTCCTATATGGTTACAATCACTCAATAAAACATACAGATTTATGAGTACGTTGCCAGTAGCTTTGGTGTAAACATGCCATTATGAATCCAGTATGTGCACAGCATGCATAATGAGCAGCAGATCATGGGGGACGTTGTCTTTCAGTGGTGTGATGATGGTTTTATATCACTGGCACCATGTCGGGGATGTTGTGTCTCGTCGCTTGTGTCCAGGTGTTGCCCAGTCAGCCGTCCATTGTGCATCGAAGGTTGACTTGTGTGTCGCGTCCAGGGCGCAGTGTGGAGCCTGTAAGCCACTGTAGCGTGAAGGAAAGGACGGGGGAGGGGAAGAGGAGAGGACGAGGAGGAAGTGAGAGTTAAATAAGGAAGGAATCGGAAGGATTGGGAGGAGGAAATGGGAGAAAGAAGCAGTAGTGGAAAGCATGAGGAAGTCGGTAAGAGTGGTACAGGAGGGATATAGTAGAGAGATGTACAACAGAGATGGGGGAGGAAGGGGCTGCAAGCGCTCGACAGGGGACCATATTCACCATGGCAACCATCGCCGGGCCTTCTCCCTCTTGTTGTATTAATATTGCCCTTACCCCTCCCTCACTGCTGCTTCAAACCGGAGTGTTCACATAAACCTCTTTTCAACGTTGCTTTGTTATAAATGACTGGGTTTACCACAATAATGTGTACAACTGTTGATTGTTGTTCATCTGTTGTTTACTTTAAGTGGTTTATAGAATATTTCTATTCACATTTCTGTTGATGTCCATTTAAATGACCTGCCACTTATTATGATACAAACAACCCCCTTATTAACCATATATTTCTGTCATATTATGGCCTTATTCTTGTGGCTGTCTTCATTGTTAAATGCCACACATCTCATGCAAAAACTAAAAATAAACAAGTCTGTCCATTTTTCAGTATTTTCTGTCTCCCACTGATCCCATTGGTGTCTGAGCATGGACATATTTAAAGAACCTCTCACTAACATTGGGTTACTTCTCTATGTAAATATAAAATATGGGGAAGTTGCTTTCAGTGGAGCTTTACCTTCCGTTAATTGCCACCATTGCAGATATTGTTTAAGTGGAGTGTGTTGGTGTGCGTTTGTTATTGATGTGTGTGTGTGTGTGTGTGTCTGTGTTTTCTACTGGACTTGAACGTGAAAGCTTTTCCTGTTTTAATTAGTTAAGTTGCTTGTACCTCACCTGAGTATTTCCATTTTACGCAACTTTAAACCTCTTTTCCATTACATTTAAATAAACATTTAATTTAGAGCTGTGTTAACGAGTCACATTGCGACAAGTCACAAATGTTTTAAAATAAGGATTAAACAAGGAGATTATGAAAGGAAATAAACTGGCATTAAAGAAAACACACATGGTGCAGAGAGAAGAAAAGCGGCAGAATAAGCACAGACATTACTGTTCCATGGTTCTGTCAAACACGCAGCCGATGGGTGATGGATGTCCTATTTGCTGGCCTTGTTAAGTAGACACCCCGAGCCCGTGTGTCCCTGTAGGGCCGTATCTAAATGGGTTACACCACCACTGAGTCTGTTGCAGTTCACAGTGGTGCAACATGTTGGCCAGCAGCACACTGCCTCTCAGCCCGCCTCAGCCACCCATCAATCCATCCACCCATCCATCCATCCATCATCCATCCACCCATCCACCCATCCATCTATCCATCCATGCATCATCCATCCACGCATCCATCCATCCATTCACCCATCCACGCATTCATTTCACTATGCAAACAAGACCCCTTCCAACCCTTTGACCCATCCACCCATCAATCCATCCACCCATCCATCCATCCATCATCCATCTACCCATCCACCCATCCATCCATTCCCCATCCATCCATCCATCCCCCCATCCATCCATCCCCCCATCCACCCATCCATCCATCCATCCATCATCCATCCATCCCCCCATCCATCCCCCCCATCCATCCACCCACCCATCCATCATCCATCCATCTATCCCCCATCCATCCACACACCCATCCATCCATCCATCCATCCCCCATCCATCCACCCGTCCACCCATCCATCCATCCGTCCATCCATCCATCCACCCACCCACCCATCCATCCGTCCAGCCATCTATCCACGCACCACACACACACACACACATACAGAAATAGTTGATATGATCACAGTTTGTTTGCTCTTTTTCTTGATATTGATCATGAAGCAGCACTTTTAACGGCAGCTTGTCTCTTTACACACACTGACGGACTTGTACCAAGCGGTGTGCATCACAAAGTGTGAGGAGAATGAAACGGAAAGCAGCTCGAAGTGATCCTGTTGTGAGAGAGGTGGCCACTCTGACTTTTCATTACCTCATGATCGCTCTGATCTCTGCCTGGAATCGCCTTTGTTCCTCCGGACTGGCTCGATCGGTGAATGAGTCATATGTCACGGCCTTAGGAGAGACACATGCAGGAAGGAATGAGTGAAATTGTTTTTGTAACATCGGCTAAATTCTTCTTCCACCGCTGCAGCTCACCGTCGCCCTGCTTGCATTGATGATGATCCAGCAGGTTTCACCCACTCATCGCATTTCTTTAAAAGGATTGTTAGACCATTAAAAACCAAAACACAAGTAATTATTTTTCTGCAGTGAAAGAAGTGTGGAAGGAAACACAGCTAATAATGCTCTTTTTGTATTAACATGCAGAGGCAGCTACGCGAAGTTAACCTGAATAAGAATTTCACTTTTGATAAGAAATATATCTATTCCCCAGATATTTGTTTGCATAGCGTTTCAACTGTAGTTTATAATTTGCCTCTTATTCTTTTATCCGTTTTTTTTAAAGCATCTTGAATAATGACAAACTGTTTAATAGTTGGAATTTAATCAAATTCTGGTTTGAATGAGTAACTTATCCCTTGTTAGCACCGGCTGTTATTGTGTCTTCCGTCACAATAACAGCCGTATTCACAGCCCCTGGGCCGCCAATGAACTTCTGAACCATGACATGCAATTACAGGCCCATACCAAGTTTTAATGAGTCCGTTAGTAGCATCCACATCTGTGTCGGTTGGGGGTTGTATTCATTTTTAAGTCAGTGATGCGTAACCCCTCAGACGGGTTGGTTTCTCAACCAACTGCTGGTGAACATTCAAGGCTTGTCTACAAAAGAAGAACAGAATAGAAAACTCCTCCCTTTCATCTCCTACCAGCTCCGTCACCGGGGACGTGGAGTTTTGAGATAAAGGCAGCATATGAAAGGGAGGACGAAATAAGATGAGGGGAGGAAATGTGAGACAGAGGGGTTGAGATGAGGAGAAAGCTGGATTTGAATTATTATTCAGTAGACACAAAGGACATGCCTGGTGCTTTGGAGGGAAGAAACGCGCTGTGTGCAATGTGCTCGCGGGAGTAAAGAAATGTCACGTGAGGGTGAGGAGGGTAAATGGACGGGAGGATTTGTTTGAGGGTTTTTTTCCTCCCTCGTGCGCGCACGTCTGTCATTGGTGAGGAACCGAACGATGTCCGTTGCGTGCCAGGGCTGCAGATGGCACGGCTTCGCTGCTTGGGAACGACTGGCACTCCCTCTACTGTACCGCTCCCACGGTACGGTTCTCTCCGAGCCAGCCCTACCAATTACATCACAGCTGAATAAGAGACATATGGAGAATGGGAGAAGGGGTGGGGTGGGGAACAAACAGAGGCTGAAATGGGGGAGGGAGGGAGGGAGAAAAGGGACATAACTCTTAAATATGAAGGGATTATAGACAGATGAGTGGGGTGGGGGTTGGTAAAGGAGATGGACAAGTAGGGAGGAAAATGCTTGCCTCTCTGACATCTGAGTCTATTCGTATAATTTGTTTTTACGGTGAGAAATCCAATCCAAACCAAACTGATTTATACCCGAGCCATGACAAGCCCACATGACTCCTGTCACAAGAGTAAATAAGAT